GAAATCATTGTGTTGAATTTACCAGACCTTGTAAAATAGAAATCATCACCCTGGGTTGACTGGGGCTTATACCTCCTTGGGTGGCATCTGGGGGGTTGGGGCATTTAACTGTGTAAGGCAGCCATTGAGCAAGCCAGGTCTGGGTGCCCCTTCCTCCTAGTTTACTGCACTGTCATTAAAGTTATTAAAAGTGTTGGAAAAAATAGTACCATTTCAATTAACATTTACTACAATGCAAAACATTTAAATAAAACTCTTTTGTTATGAGATGCAGATATGAATCAGAAATTTGAATTACTTGCAAAGTTGGATCTTTAAAAAAAAATTATTTCATCTTATATCTTCTGTATGCTTTCTTTGAAAAAATATATAAACAAAAAGAAACTTAAAAAATAAAGACTAACCATAGAGGAATGTGTAAGTAAGCATGAGTTTATGTAGGAGTATTTATTTTTCTCTTGTTATTTAATTTCTTTATGTGGCCAGATAGGTTATGATTTATGTGACAGGGCATCACAAAGCAAGTAAAAGTGCACTATGGATGGATTAAATTTTTATAATGATATTGGGAAGCAATTTGTCACGTTTTATGAGGATTGCACATTCGAGGATGTGCAGTTTTGTGAACAATGGAAATGTTATAAAGCTATTCGTGTTGTATTTATGTGTAAAAATTTTATTGTATTGTAAGAATTATGTGTATAATCATTTTCAACATCTAAATACCTCTACTACACCTAGAATTATGGAATTTCATCGTTTTGCAATGTGTTCTTACATTTGTAACTGGGAAAGCATGTAAATTTCCTGTTCCTTACCACTTCCAAGTAGAATTGATATTGAAACTTCACTCTGAAAGGATGTTACAAAAAGTGGCTTGTGCCTTTGAGACATGTGTTTATGTGCTATATGTATATAGGTGGCTGTTATTCCCTTTATAAAGTAATATAGACCATTGTAGACTTGATAGATATTAGTATACTTTGTAGGAATTGTATGAGTTTTGTTAGTAAGAGGTCCGTGAAGGCAGACATATATCATACATACCTTGATGATCATACATGATCTTCGATTGGAACCCCTCCTTTTTTTTTTTTTTTTTTTTTTTTGTATTTTTCTTATTTTTTGAAGATTATCCTCAAGTTTTAATAAAAAAATTACTAACATTTAATACTATTAATATCATAGTTTAAGATCTCGTATTTTCCGCATTCCATTCATAAAAGAAAACACTTATTGCTTTACTTGTCTTTTTTGTTCACCCCATTTTTCAGAACAGAGGTGTAAATTTAATTCTAGACGAATGAGGCACAATAAGCATTTTATACCATTTGATGCATGTGACCATTGACTGAAGAATGTCAGTGGTTTTTCTGATTCCATTCAAATTCTTTGAGTGACATGTCAGAGTTCTTTTCATGGTTAATGTTTATATGGAAACTTTGATATTTCTGCCATTCAGAAATAAAGGCTGATCATCAGTTTAAAGTGTAATTACAGGAAGCAGCTCATTTTAAGCATTTTGGACAAATTGAAAAGTTTCAATACTTGGTTAATTAGTTTCATTTATTTAACAATGACAAAGTACTCAAGGGCTGTCTACCTAAGAGGAGGGATGCTTTTGTGGAGGACTTTCTAAGGAAAACTGGCTCATACATGCTACACAAAGGGAAAAACCATGGAAATGCCCATGCAATCAGTCCATTCAGCGAGATTCAAACCTGGGACTGAACTACCGGTGTTCAGTGACTTATTGCTGCTCAGCTTCTAGTGGACCCACTTCTTTATGGAATGCTTGTGCTGGGAAAAATCTTAGTATTTTGTGACAAAATTGATAATCTAAAATTGTTTTCGCAAGTAATGAACAGTTTGACAGAAAATTAAAATGAGATATGCTGACGTCAAAGATCTGGGGTCTGTGGAAAATGTGTTGCATTTCCTGTACCACAGCAAGTGCTAAGGCTGCAATCCATTTCATTGATACGTTTTCATTCAAACTGTTAAATTGAAATTAGTGGAATCTTCTCAGTTTGGGGACCAAAAATTTGAAAATGAATTTTCTTTATTTGCAAAATGCCAACAGAAAGTTAGATTATATTTGTTTTGAGAACTTAAGTAAAATTAATATATTTGTCAATGTTTTTTTGTTATTCATTTTTATTGCTTTTATATTATGGGTTAAATAATTATTCATAATTATCAGTGTTAAAGGATTAGAACTATGATATTTATGAAATTGTTAGCATGCAGTGAAGCTCAAAAGCAAGCTACAAATTTAATAACTGCACATAATAATCATAATTAAACTTGATGTTAATAGAAAAAGTATATTTCTTTTTTCACTTCTTGAGGTAGATGTGATAATTTTTTTTTTAATTCATCATTCAATTTTTACATGTTTTTGTGATGCCCCCTTTTTATTATTATTATTATTATTTTGGATGTAGTGAATTGATTTTCTGAAGTCTCTTGAATTGTATATCAGCCTTCAACATTATACGAATTTACTGCAATTATATTAAAGGGAGACATGCATTTCTTAAGTGTGTTACAATGCTATAAGAAATAACTTTATATTTTTAAAAAAAAGTTTATGCACTTTATAATTTTATGGGGGAAATGACATTACATTCCACTGGATATTCTGATGTCTTAAATATGTCTTTTGTTTTAAAAAAGTCTTTTCCTAAATTTTTTGTAATATACATCATTTGTAAAAAACTAATATTTTAAAACACTGAAAATAATTTAAATATTGCTAAACCAAAGAATATGTATTATTAAGAAGGAAAGCTTTGCAGCAGCAGGAGTGGCTCCCTTCGAACAAAAAGGGAAGCAGCTGCGCATGCGTAAAGTCTGTCGCCCTAAAGTGCCAAAGCTCGAAGCTGATGCCGAAGTTCGAGCAGGTTCGGCGGTCATGTTTATCAAGAGTATAAAGTTGTGTGGCTCCATTTTTTCCCCTCCATATTGACAGATATAAAATCAGACATCAAACTGCGATATGGATAATGCAAGTTCAAGAGCCAGTTAAAGTGAAACTTCACCTGATTTTCTTATTCATCTTAATCCGTATTCCTCAATTTCCTGTATTTCTAGCATCGTAGAAGATAAACTGGTTTACATTACATCTATGGAGCCTTTCCTTCTCTACATAGACATTCTTTGGCTAAACTATATTGAGATTCTTTAATTGATACATAATCTGAAGGGTGTTCTTTATAATATGTATACGTGTTGTGTGTGTGGATATATATATTGCACACACACACATACATACAACATTAAAGGAAAACATGCATTTGTTAACCCTTTCCGGCATGCTACCTTTTAAAGTTGGAATTTCAATAAAAAAAAAAAAAAAAAAAAAAGTAGGCAGTCTAATTAGGCCTAGAGGAGTACACAAATAAAATTTTGTAAAGATAGCACTTATTTTAATTCTGTGGGTGTGCCCGAAGCGGGCATACTGATTGAATAGAGCTTCGAAAAGAGTATTGCTGGGAAGCGCTTAAAAGAGTAAGAGATTTTGCCTACGATTAAAAAACCCTAGATTCTGATTATAGCAGATGTAGCATTACCCAGGGTGTGCCATGGGAAGACCTGCCATGGGAACAAACACCCTTCCCTCTAAAAAGCTCTTTTTTGGTTATATGATGATTACATGCTTATGAATGGGGAAAAAAAGTAACTTGGGTATATGATATTTATATTATTTAATTTCATATTTACACTTTAGTCTATTTTTTCATGATGTTACTTTTCGAAGAAAATGACACCACCTGTGAAAAAGCACAACCCAATATTGTATTTTTTGCACATGTACTGGGATCTGAATCAGATTCACTACCTGAAAGCAATTTGTGTAGCACTTTCAGTGCTTCAGCAATGGTCAGCCCTCTCCGATCTGTTTGGAAAATAATTAAAAATCCAAAAGAAATAAACTAATAATCTATATACAATTAGAAATTATAAACTATGAAATAAAATTAAATAAACACCTACAACTCAAAACTGTTAAACATAGTGTTAGCGAAACTTTGAACGAAAGCAGAAGAGAAAAAGAGAACTGCTCTATTAAAAAACCAAACAGCTGATAAAATTACCCTTGACCTTCAGAAAATCACCCCCAACAATGTGTTAGTTAATAACCAAACGTCCCCTCAAAAAAAAAAAAAAAAGAGAGAGAGAGAGAGGAAAGAAGAAAGGAAAACAGGAAATGAAACACAGATGTGGACCCACCTTTCTGTTATCAATGAACTGACCGATGAGATGCAGAGAAGCAAAGGATACAGTCTCTCACTGTTCCTAGTTTATTAGCGAGTCCTGTCTGGGAACAGCTCGGGTTTGCCGTTCGATTTTAGGCAAGATTTCAGTGTAAAAATTTTAAACTAATATAAAATAAAGAGATTAGCATACAGCCAAAAAAAATAACAGAAATTTCTTTTCCAACAATTCCTTTTATATTCTAAAAAAATCTGCAAGATTTCTTTTAAAATTGAGGGTCTTAGAAAACTAAACGTGGCTAAATATATGGACTGGTTTGTGTTGAGCTGCCATCTACTGTAAATAAAGAAGGTTCAGAGTAACCTATAGTAACTTCTAAATACTTTTTCATTCATTTTTTCTGTGCATGCAGAAGGAAATTTTTAGGTCTTAGCACACCATGCTGCAAAGGGTTAAATGTGTTATTATGCTATAAGAAATAACTTCTTATTAGGAAAAAGTTTATGCACTTGATAATTTTATGGGGGAAAATAGCATTTCATTCCACTGGATATGCTGATGCCTTAAATATAGCTTTTGCTTAAAAAAAGTCTTTTTCTAATTTTTTTGTAAAATACATCATTGGTAAAAAAACTAATGTATAGAACACTGAAAATGATATAAATGTTGCTAAACTATATTGGGATGTACTTTAATTGATACATAATCTGAAGGATGTTCTTTATAATATGTATATATACATTACACACACATATACATGGATTTTCCTTTTGTTATAGGTAAGTTTCCAAGCATCAGGTGCATATTATGGAAGTATGTCTTTGCCTACCCCTGCTGTGAATATGGGTATGTGTGAGCCTCAGATGCCTGGAAAATGGTCGTATCCTAGTGGATCTGTTGCTTCTCGTTTTTATCCTGTTGTGAGAAATAATTACCCTGCTGAAAATCAGGTATGTGTTAAGTCATTTGTTTAGATTTGTTTTCTATTTATGCTTAACCCCTTGACATACAGTGACGTCTGGTAGATGTCATTCGTTTCATGTGTCACTGTAGACTTTTGATGTGTGGGAGACTTTCAAGAACTGTCATCGGTGAATGCTATGCAGTATATTACTATATTCTTTAACTGTTTCAGTCACGCATCAATACTGTTTTGTTTAGATTGTTTAAGATGCTTTCCCCCTCTTAACAGTACCAATAAAAAAATCGCATCGCTAAACAAATAATGAAAAAAAAAAGAGCATAACGAAAGCAGTTAGTCAGGATAGCAGTGTTCTTGCACACCAAACATCATAGTACATATCTGAATTTAGTAAAAATTAGAAATAGTCCTTCCAACATGTATGAGTTGAAGGTATTAAAGTCTATTATGCTATTCTAGTAATGACAAGGAGAATGAAAATGGTCATCAAAGTGTGCATCATTTAAATGATGCTCAAATTCTCAAGTGAAGGTAGCTTTGTTCAACAAAATAGACATAAATGTGCAAGACCTATTTCAAGCAGTGAAGATTCTGGTGTAGCAGAGGATGAATGGAATTGGGAAGAAAAAGAAAATATTGTGAATATAAAACAATTTACTGGAACTTCCAGTATCAATTGTTTAGTTCTACAAAGATTGGGTATAAATACCACACTTCTGTGTATTTTCAAACAAGTTTTATGTGATGATTTTTTGAAATAGTAAAGAAATGAATGGATATGCAAAACCTATGAAACTGAATGAAGAGTGGTATCCACTAAAAAATGATGTAGCTAGAGGATATTTTGCATTATAATGTCATAGATAAAAAAATCTAAAATAGACATGTATTTGTCAAAATGAAAAGTATTCGAAGCACCCATATTTATGCGAACTATGCCTCATAAACATTTTTTGGTCATAACGCACCATCTTCATTTTGTTAATAATACGTTGCTTCCTAGAGAGATAGAATATGAAAGGTTTAACCCATGGTGGATTACTTAAATACCAGATTTCAACCGTTATACGTTCTGGAACAAAATATTGTCATAGACGAATTCCTAGTGAAATTCAATGGGTAGTTAATTATGTACAATTCATAGCATCCAAACAAGTAAGAATTGGAATTAAATTTAATAAATGATGTGAATCCAATTCCAGGTATTGTTATTGATTTAAAATTTACGAAGGACAAGTTAGAATTTAAGGAAATGGTAAACCTGTATTGGAAAGTGTAATCATGCAACTAGCCAAACACATTTTAGAGAAAGGATGTACCTTGTTCCTATGTAATTGGTATTTGCCTTCTAATTTATTAAAAATTTTGCATGTAAAAAATACTAATGTTATTGAAATGGTGGGGGAAAAAAGTCGGAAAAATATGCCAAAGATGCTTGCATAATATATGCTAAAAGGGAGAAGTAGCATTATCTTTCAGAGTAGTTCACTATCTACTCTGAAACATCTGTTGAGAGAGAGTTCACTATCTTTTCTGTCTGCCTTTATGCTGGTGTGACAAGAAGGATGTGCATATAAGGATGAAACACTCAAAAGCAGAAATGGTTGATATGGGGAAAAGAAGGAGAGGAGGCGAAGAACTGTTGAAACTGACCTGTGTTATGGAATGAAATTGTGCAATGGGATGTCTTGCATGTTTCCCTCTCATGCAAAAGTGTGTAAAAGGATACAAAAAATTTTATGTTAGATATAGCTGTTTATAATGCTGATGTCTTATATTCCAAGTTGCCTACTTCACAAAAGCAATCAATTCTGAATTGTCTATTGAATATTGCAGAAGAAATGCTCTGTAATTTGTCTCTTTCGAATTATCTGATATGGAGGAGACTGTTGCAAATGAATGCCCTACTCAAATGCCCAACTCGGTTACAAGCAAAACAGTGGGCATATTTTCCTGTGACAAAAGCAATGTCCTGCAAAGAGATGCCATATGTGCATAAAACATAATATAAGAAGTGAAACTACTTGGCAGTATAAAACTTGTCTTGTTCCAATACATATTCCAAAATGTTTTAAAAGGTATTGTACGTTACGGAACTAGTAAATTATTATTTTATAGTGTTACTTAATTATTGTACATTAACATTATATATAAATTTTATGTATAATGTTATAATAATATGACTGTTATATAGCAATGTAATTTTGAAAATAAAAGTTTCTATTTCTAAGCTTTGTGTCTGCAGTTAAGCTAAATTAAATGGTATTCTTTGGATTCATATATTTGTATGTCAAGGGGTTTAATTACTGTATAAAAAGTACTGACACCCTTTTTTATTTTTGCATTAAAATGTATTATACTATGTACTCTATTAAAATATGTGCTTCAAAATAATTAGAGTAGACTTACAATTGAGTTACTTATTTCTTTTTTTTTCCCATAATGTTGTGTGTAAATATACACAGTGTTTCAAAATTGCTGGTCATGAGTAAATTGTGAACCACTGGTTCCTGCTTTCAGTTAAGGAATTTCTTTTGAAATAGACTTGGAACTCAATTTTATGCATTCAAATTGTAGGAAGTGCACCAGTTCAAGAAATTAAATACTTGGCTTTTATGAACAGATTTCATGAAGTCATTGGTGACTGGCAGATTTTCTTACCCTTATGTTTGATTATAGTGACTTTAAAATATGTGCTGCTGCTTTATGGATAAAATTCTCAGTGATTGTCATGCATTTTTGTGTGCATTATTATTATTCTGGAAGAACACTGTTCATTCATTTATTATCTTCAATAAAATGTATACATATTAAAATTATTCTGGAAAATTTTCCGATAAAAAATAGCAGATTAAACTAGGATGTTTACACATAAGGACTCAGAAATTGTATTATACACCGTAAAGTGCATTCTGTCAAAAATGTTTATTCAAATGAAATTAACAGTCTATTTAAAATTAGTATGCATTTTTTAAGATATCAAGAATTGATTATTTAAATTCTGCATGTTAAAAATTTTGTCATTTATATTTGCTTTCAGCGACAGCGTTTTCAAAAGATGAGGAGTAATAGTGATGCTATGGGTCAACATGTAGGATGGGTGATGGATGTTCGAGAACACCCATCACGATCCCGCACTAATTCCTCTAGGTACGATTATTTTTAAATTTATATAGTTTCTTTTATTTATCAGAATTAGGCAGGAATAAAAAAGGAATCATAATAACTTTTTACATAGTTATTGCAGTTTATATGAAAACAAAACATTTCTGACCTCTCTATTGAATTATTTTCCTCTTACCAGAAAGTAATCTAACCTTAAGTTTTAAACTAGTATGGGGAAAAAATTAGCCTGGCTTTGCACTTTTAGAATTAGCAGCATGAATTAGATGTAGCTTCTAAATCATGGAAGATTACCTCCAAAAAATTATTTTTTGTTATCAAAGGTAAATTTTTGTCCAAAATTTTCTTGTTTTGATCACTGCTGATTGCGATTATACATTCATTGCTTAAATTGCTTGTATTACTCATGCTTTATTGAAACAGTTTTGCTGATTGATTTTTATGCTTAAAAAGCATATTTCTTGCAAACTTTTTCTCAACGCTATCATGTCAGATTTATCACACTCCTCTGGTGTTGTTTTCGAAAGTCCATTCAGTGATCAAAGATGCCATTTTTCTAAGGCTGGTTTTAACAAACTGAAAGCGCAGAAGTTTAGAGAAGTGTTGGGTGATTTTATGAGTATTTTATTAAATGAAATATACTTTATTCCTGTCTCTGATACATTTTTGCTAAATCACCAGCATTTGGCATAGATGTGTGACTGGAGCATTTGTCTATATAAAGCTCAAATTCATTGAAGTCCTTTCCATATCAGGGAAGAACATCTTCAAAAATTTATTATAAAGTGAATGAAATGAGTTAATGTACAGTGAATTAATATTAGACTTACTTGGCACTTTTTTGGGTTTTATTGTTAAGAGAATCCAGCAAATATCATGAAGCTGTTTCTTGACAAAGATATTTCTTTAATTTTCATCAGCTGAATAATAGAATATTCATCTTTTATTATTACAGTCACTTAAATACAGTAGAAGTCCAGAAATCCGCAAAGCTTGGGACCAGAGGTTGTGTGGATTTTATGATTTTGCGGATTTCAGGACAGAAAAGATAACTCATAATATTCGGACTAAAAGTGCAAAATAAATAAGGTGTATTAGATAAATTTAATTAAATTATTATATACATTATATTGCAATAACTTACTATATGCATTAAATTATTATTACATACATAAATTGATTATATTATTCATTGTATTATATGTACACAGCATCGAAGTTTGCCGATTTCGCCTCATGCAAAGATTTCTGGTTTCGAATTCCAGTGTTAGAATCGCTGTTGCTGTAAAATTTCAACAGCTTTTCTTTATTTTTCCGTATATCGTACTCAGTCGTGTCGCAATTCCATACCATTCTGCTATAAATCGAGGAGTAGCACCTGCCTCCATCTTTTGAAGAATCTGCACTTTTGGCGTTACCGTCAATGCAACGTGTTTACGTTTTTCAACGTTCCAAGCAGTAAAATCATGAGTGCGTTTCTTATCTCTCGTTGTATTAAAAAGGGCTGAAATTTAAAATATTCTTAATTTATCCACAAAGTATCAGGATTTAAAAAAAAGGCAACAGTAAACAATTAATTAATTGTGAAATAACAAGGCTCAGGAAGTACAGCAACGTGAATCGTGAACTTGAACAAAGAGTTGAGTGAATTGTCTGCTTTTTTATCTCGATGCAGAGATTAGAGGGAAAAACTTTTATCTTATTTCTTTAAACTTCTTTATGTCAATAATTTGGTATTTCCTTTATGACTCATTATTACTCGGTAATTATGACGTCATTATTTGGTAAGTATTTTTTCTTCGACATTTTGTACTCAATGTTGCGGTTTCCGGAACCTATAAACTTAATGTTTATATTTGGCAACGCGGATTTCAGGTCGCCGGATTTTTGGTATTTGACTGTATACCCATGCCTGATTGAGTGTTACCGCAAATTTCCCTTTATCAGCAGCTATGTATTTTTCATATGATTTTATACAATTTGTTTTTCTTTTTGCAGTATGTTTTGGCAAAAGGAGATGAACTTTTATGTTTAAGCATCTTTCCTAACTTCAGTTCTTTATGAATGATCATGCTGACTGCACCAGAAGACATTTCCAGTTCCAATTCCGTGGTTCTTTGAGATGGTGGATTTCCTTTCGGAATCAGTCTTTTTTTTTTTATAGTATTTATTCATTGCGTTCAAAGTCTGAGGAGCCAATGATTCATTTTTACATTTGGCTACTTATCTCCTTTTAAATTTAATTGGAAAGTGACAAAGGAGCATTGAATCATGAAATTATTTTTTACATTTTTTATCTGCTTGCCCACAGGTAATAAGCAGCTAATTTTCTTGGTGTTCTCTCCTCCCCCCAAGTGAAAAATCAGGACTGAGAAACTTTCATTGTTAGATACCCAGTGTTTGGTATTATCACATGCATCTTCTGAGAACTTCTGTGTTATCAGCCCACAGGTCAGTAGTCTTGTTTTTACTGATTGTTTACCTGCATCAGAGTTTGGAGACATTTAAGTATTGTAGAGTTTGTCAAGCTCTTTGTTGCTCTTTCTCTTTTGAGAGGTTTGGGAAAACCTGCTTATTCTTATGTTTAATCTCTGGTATATGGTTTTGAATGTTATGTGATTCTGTGGCTTTCTGGATTAAATCGCTAATATCTGCTGTGATTGTATTTATTAAGAAGAGCTAGATGTTTTTCTTTGGAAAGGGTTGGTAAAGTATTTTCAAAGCTCTGTTCATTTGTAGGAAGCTGTAAAGATATGACCCGTATGGTTTGGTATAATGGATTTGGAAACTGTTTTACATATTTACTAATCGTACCTGTATTTGAAAATTTATTTGAATGTGATTCGCAATGTAAGTATTCTACCCTCAGTTCTAATTTTAGATATTTCAAAAATGAACAGAATTTTTTTTCTCTTTAAAATAATATTTCAAAGTTAACTAATATGCCAAAAAGTTTCTTTGTGTTATTTTGCAGTGAATCTTGGCCATCCAATGTTGTACGAATTAAAATTAGGTGTCACACTGTAATCAGCTTCATATATGTACTTCTGTGAACAGCATTTTTTTAAGCACTAGTCATTATGTCTTCAAAATTTTTAATGCTTGCCATTTTCTTTTTACAAATAATAAAGCAGCAACATATTAAAGCTGTTTTTATTCAGGAGGGCAAGTGATTAAAATTTTAGGTGCTCACAACGGTTTGCTGGATAGCAAGTTGTGAAAGTGGAACCCTGGTAAAGAGCAGCTGTACCACTTTCATGTTTGTTTAAATTGCAAAAGGGGAGGAAAATAGACTTCTGTAGAAGAAGAATAAATGAATCTGTAAAATATATGGAGACAGCATTGTATTTGATGATGATTATGAGAAGTGCTTTAAAAGATTTGTAAGTGGCAAAGTTGTTAATTATTGATCATGTTGAGGAAGGCTGAAAGAATAAAGTGATGGATCAAGAAATTTCCATCAGAGAGCCAATTCAAACATTAAGTTAGAGGGCTTAGAATTTTTTTTTTTTTTTTTTTAACTATTCTGCTTTTTGTACATTTGTACTGTATTTGTTTGCACATTAAATTTATAGTCAAATGTGCTTACTTAAAAACTAATATTTGGGAAGTTTCTGATGGAATTTTTAAAGATGGGATGCAAGTTGTTGCCATTGAAACACTTTTAGGATTTGTTAGACTTTTTTAATTTATTGGTACATCTGTGCAAGTTTAGAATGAAGGAGTTCTAATAGTTTGCTTTCATTTTTCAAAATTGTATTAAAGCAACAGTTGGAACCCAAGATTCAAGACTAATCATGATATTGCATGAGGATTTTCATGACAGTCTATGAGGAAGTGGGGCAGAAATATGCATGAAATTGGAAAAGTTCCCTCTTCCCCAATTTCAGATAATTCTTTTCATAAGTAGATCAGATCAGATTCATTACACTTAATGTACACAAAAATTTGAAATCATGATAAAAGTTTTTTGTAGTATGCCACAGTGTTTAGAATTCAGTGTGCTGAATCTTTGACCAGAACATCAAAGATTCATGCCTGTTGTCAGCCTTTAGTTTAAACAAAAAGGTACAAAGCCATATGCAGCAATGATTAGGTGTAATGTCCTTTAAATAATGCTCCCGACCTGTTTCTCTTTTAATCAGTTATGGCAAAACATGCAAGTGATCCTTCCATTTGTTTGAATTTAATGTTTGGAAGCATACCACCAAGAGAAAGGCCATTACCTTAAGCCCATTCTATACATACTGTCTACCTCCTTAAAAATATTTTATTGTAATTTCTTTTTATCCCAAATCTTTTTCCAATTGTAGTGCTTTTCTGTCAATGCATCACTTTTAAATGGTATCCATATTTTTAAATTTTGGTAGAAGTATTTTAGTGACTGTGACTTGGTTCTTGACTGCATAATCAAGAAAGAGAATAGTACCAATTTATTTCAGTACCTATATTATTTAATGTAATTTTGTTTTAAAGCACTTTCTTGGTATTTTCATGCTGTGTATTTTAATGTATTTCATGTTTCACGCTTTTACTTCTTTTACATTTAAATTCATTCAGCATTCATCATCATATTAAATTTGATTTTGTAAGTCTGGTTTTGTTTCTAGTGTAGGCAAAATTTATTTAACAAATATTTAACGCATCTTAATTTTTTTAATTATGTGCCAGAAAATCCACTGCTACCTTTATAATCATTTTTTAAAAAATGTGCTCGAATTTATCATGTTAGCAGTTTGTAATCATTTAAAAAAGTCCAGTGCTTTAATTAATTCAATTTGTCTTATGAAACATTTTTCAGTGAATCCGTACTGTCACCAAGTAGCTATGGAAGTGCTCCCCAATTTTTACCAGCTTTTGAGCACCCTAGTCATGCTCTTTTAAAGGAAAATGGTTTTACACAGGTGGATTATTGCAAGTTCCGTGCACGCTGTTTAAAAGGTACGTTTTCTTTCTCCTTGTTAAACAAAGTTTCATCTGAAATCCAATATCCACAAGATAATTATCATCTTGGGCAGATTTTTCTGTATGTTTAGTATGTCAGTTTTGTGTATTTTTTCAGTATTTAGCGTCCTAAGATATATATATATACCTTTAAAAAAATATATAAAAGGTTTCAAGATTTTAAATTACATCCAAAGGAGGTTTTTTTTTTTTTTTTTTTTTAATGTTTTGTATGTTACCTTTTATGTTCTTTGCACTTAAAACAAATTTCAGTTCAACAGCAATGTCGCAAAATAATTTTAAAATGAGCATATCTTTAGTATTTCCGATACATAGTTCTGTGCATTGGAGGTAAAAAGATCACCCCCCGGTAGAGTGTTGCCATTGCTCGCTTTGAAATCCTTGAGTTGTTAATCAAGAATTTGTTAAAGTTTTACAAAATATGAAATCGATAATAAAACAAATTCCAAATTTCAAGTTTGGGCTTTCAAATGCCCTTATCCACTGTGGGATTATGTCATTAAATCTTGGATGCCTCTAGGTACCGTTGTTTTATCACAATGCGAAAAACACACATTTATGCAGATTCTTCAAATGTAATACAGGGCGATAGTATTTGGTGGCAACGATTTGAAAAGTGATGCAGCCTTCAAAGTTTTCAACACAAAATCACAAAACGAAAACAATATTCCTTCAGGGACAAAGCCTCTGTGGACTAAAAAAAAAAGTGGGGGCTGATGCTTAGGATGTGTACCATTTCTTATAATTCAGATAATTTTACTGTATATCCATAGTATCTTAAAACTAGATTTTATGTCTTTTTCCCTCATTCATTTCACTTAAATCATGATTAGCAGTAGCTCCTAAAGGAATGAATGCACTTACAAAAATTTAAGTCTAGCCTAAAGTAATAAGACATATGAAATCTTCGAGTTGCTGAGGTCTCTGTTGGCTTAGCACTAATGTATATGTTTCCGATAGCTATTTTTGCATTCCGATTCCACAGTAAGTAGCTTTTTTTTTTTTTTAATGAGTGTTATTACTATTATACTCATTTCGCATAACTGCTAAGTTTCCCAGTTTTTCATCAAATCTTTTGGTCTTCCAATAAATCACCAAATCACCTGGTTTTTAATTTTTAGTTAAGGGAAATGTTTCCCGCAGTAAATAAAATTTGTTGAATTAATTAATGAAATTAGGCAAATTCCATTACACCTTTTCTAATGACTTTCAGAATAATATTTCTTGTTAAATTTTATTCCTTCTGAATTATATTCTAATTATTTTTTTATCATATTAAATTTCATTTTATCTGAGTTACCTGACTCTGTTACTAATCTGTACACTGCACAAAAAAAGGGGCAGTTCTATATCTCCTGTTCCGTTCTTGACAATTATTCACTACAAACTATTATGAATCTTGAAACATTATACCTTGGAACAAAGTAATATTAATTTCATAACTGCAAAATAATGAGCATTCATAGGGTACTTGCTGCCATTCAGAATCAAAAGGAAATACTAGAAACTTATGATTACAGCTTTTGGTGTAGAAAAATTGGCATTGTTTAAGAGATTAAAAAATTGACAATCATCTGGTGTATTTCATATACCGGTGCCCTGTAAAGGGTTAAAGAAAAGCTGTTATTTTAAAGCACAGATGTATGCATACATGAAATAGCTGTAATATAAATGCATATAGAAAATAAACTTCTTGGGGTGCAACATTTATAGAAATAAAAGATGATATTGTGATTAATTTAGAAGTCAAATGACATATTATGATATTGAAAATTGCTATTGTGAAAGTTTAAATTATGCAGAGCAGTGTAGATTTGGAATAAAACTATCGATTTTGTGGGTGATTACATACAGGTCTCTCTTTCTCAGGAGCAAAAATTTAAATGTTTTGCGAACATGAATCATTCCATATTAAAAAAAAAAAATTGTTCAGTCTGTTTATTTATCAGAAAAGTATGCACTGTTTATGGGAACTAAGGTATTGACTATCCTTCATCTTTAATCTCTAAATGTTGGAAGATGACTACCTGTGTATTTCAAGTCTTTAAAAACCTCTTGTTTTTTTTTTTTACGCCAGTAGTAATTAGACTTTTTCCCACCTGATGCAATCTCTGTGGATCCTAAACTCTGTTGCCTAGTGCCTTTCTAAATTCTGCTTCCAGTGCCTGCTCTAAATTCTAAAAGTTTTGCCGTTTCTAGATTTTGTGGCTCAGTATGTCTCTAAATTCTAAAAATTCTGCTAAAATGGCTGTGTAACTGGCCCATACCATATATAATTTCATACTTTTCCTGAATATTCATATTACTAAAGAAATAAAATTAGCAGCTTTTCTAGACATTCTAAATGCATTTAGTTTTACAGAATAACAGAAATCTGTAATTAAATTCTAAAATGAGGGTGAAACGTATTGAAGAAAGAAACTGATACATAAAGAGAAAGAAAATTATTCCCCAAAGATATGTACAGTTATTATTATCTAAATTAACCAGTTTTTAATTTCAGCCTTCAATATAACTTCCCTTTTCCCCACCAGAATGCAAATCATTTAGATAGTTTCTAAACATAAGTTTTTGGATTGTAAGACAGTATTCTGCATTAGTTCCTGCCAGCTGTGATAATTTGCAATTATTCGTCTTTGCGTTATCGCTGCTAATATTTGAATTTGTTACGATGATAGAGTTACTGAGTCAACTTAGATAAAAATTAAATTGTAGTCTTTCATTACTAGTTGACATTTTTAGTTTGAATTTTACTGTTCCTTTTTAATTACATCACCACGAAGCTGTAGTGTTATTTTGCTGGCATAAAAACGTGCCTTTATGTTCCAAGTTCTTTTTTAAATAAGAAACTTGTATGAACCTTTATCTGACTGTGTAGCTACTTTCAGACATAACCATAATTTGCTTCATGTCTGTCAGAGGTTTGGGACTATTTAACTTTTACCAGATCAAGGAAAACCTCATTAGATACATTATCGAGAGATTGGCAAGTTAGGAGATAAAGCATGCAGAAACCAGTGGTAATATTAGTTTGCATATTGAAACATATTTCTAATTGTTAGAAAAGATGCTTAAAGAGAAGGAAATTAATATAAATTAGCCAAAATGTCTGGGAAGGCTTCAAATAAAAAAGCCGCATCAATATTTTGTTGAGTGTTGTTGCTACAAAATATAAATGTTTTGTAGCTTTTAATATATAATTATCCCAATATCGTTTTAGAATCAACATCATAAATTACATGTATTTTAAACTGTGAAATGGTAGTAGATGAATTGTGATTTTAATAGTGCTTTTTTTTTTTTTAATTTAATAGTGGCCATGTATATCTTTAATGACTAAGGGTATCTAACTACTTAATTTAATTATTTGTAGCTAACTGCTCACCCTTAAAAATTAATGCTGCATGTTAAAGCTAGTTATTGCCTTTTGTTAATCCTTACCGTGGTCACAAGACACAGCAGAGAAATGTAAAACTTATTTTTTGTAGCTAGTGAGATGTAAAATAATACTAAACAACTTATCACCTCTGGTGCTTTATTAGCTTATTGTAACCTTTAAGTATATTAACTGGGTTGCAACCCAAGGAACTCTACACGAAGCTATGATACTCACTGCATCAGATAGATAGAGCGTAACTAACTTTCAAAACTTGCCAGCTGTGCCTACATCACACTTTTAGGTCTATTCTGATCTTGCCGAGAGAGAGACCTGCTGTCCTCATCAGCAAGGCAAGCAGCAGCAGTAACAACAGCCAGTCTTCTGTTACCAGTCAATGCTGATTGATTTTACTGCTCATTTTAACCTATGCCATTTGACAATAAATCTACCTGCTATTTATGAAACCTCTAGACTGAGCAAATACGTGACAAAATGAGACATTAAAGAAAAAGTCAACATAAAACTAAGTGAAACATAAATAAAATGTCACCAGTCTTCTTTCAAATATGTCCAGCTATTAATGTAAAATATTTAATGCGACATGATAAATTTTATGAAGTTGATTTCATTCTCAAATTTGTTTATAAGTATTTTTTATTAAATTGGATTTAATAATAATGCATCTTGCTTACTGGATCTCTCTTATTCTTAGGATCATATTACCAAAGTTCAGCCATAGATAATATCTTAGATAAAATTTATTCAGTTCTCTTTTGCTGATAGGTCCTTAATTTTTACCTTTAATGGTCCATAAAAGTCCTTAAAAGTATTTTATCTCTGTGTCAGAAATGTGTACGAATATTGTATATATTTTTTAAATTTCAAGCATGTCAATGAAACAAAGTGCTAGTCCTTTATGGGATTCATACTGAGGATTCCTTGCTGCAAATGTTTCCATGGTATTACCAACAACAGGAGACAGGCAAAGAGAAAAGTTCACTAGACACATAGTGCTGAAAATTGTAATGCATTTTTATTTTTGCTTTTGATGGCTAAGTGGCTAAAATTGTGAAACACTGAAAGTTTGCTGTGTGTTCTGTCTTGTTAATTGAATGGAATGGCTGCATGAGTTTTCCATGTGTAACATAAATTTGGGCACATCTCCCTTTAGAATTCCATTATCAAAGGTTTCTTTTACCTCAGGCAGGTGGCTGTTGTACACTTTGCCATGATACAACTTCTTTCTATTGGAAAGCGTAAGCTAGACCGTTTACAAATTTTTAATGTCCTTAATTTGTCAGTTGCTTTCCACGTATGTAAAAGGCTCTAAAATTGGTGCTTAAGTATGTCTTATCAAATTAAAATAACAGTGAGGAGTTTAGGTAAAATATAATGTCCTACATATTATTACAAATTAATTCCAAGAAGTATTCTTTAATGAAACTCTGTCATTTGAAAAAATGTAGTCTTTAAACTCAAGATTTTCAAATAATGGAACCATTTCTTCAGGTGAGGCAGAAGTCTAAAACCATGCATTATTGATTAACTATCTTGATGAATTATAAGTTTACTTTGGCTGATAAAAATTTTAGAATCTTCAATTGGCAGCAGAAAATGTGTGTTCAGTAAGCAGTTTTTTTTGGGGGGAAGGGGTATGTCAATCTGAGAATAGTTTACTTTCTTCTTCCTGTGTAAACCATTAACTGCTTGGCTTAGGGATGTATGTCTTTGTTTCTGCTCCACAGTACCATCAAAATGCATAATATTAAATACAAGAGTAAGTAATATTAATATTTGTCTTAGATTCATAAATAAAACAAATTGGTGCTTCAGCTTTTAAATTGCCAAAAAACTTTTATTGTTGATAATGCAAACAAATTTTACAAATTATCACAAGAATAGATATTTCCAAAACCAAAAAATTAGTTAAAAAATTTTGCAATGTGTCCATAATGACTTCAAAAAGGTAGAGCTCGAAATTTTTTGTTAGCAATATTGTGATAACTGTGATTAAAACCCACACTATATGTTACATTTATTTTATATTATGGGTCTTCAGTGACCATTGCTGCTCAATTAAAAAGTTGATGATTTGTAATTGATAACCCACAAGGCGCTTAACAAATTAAAAACCTTTAGTTTTCCTTTTAGCTGATGAATATGTTTTGTAACATGAAGGATATTGACAGTTTTCTCTTAGCTTATTTAACTTTCATGTAAATACTAGATTTCTAACAAAAGTAAACACTGTTTAAGTTTTTGAGCTTTGATAGTTAGGTTTATTTAAAATTATTAATTTAAATTAAAATTTATTTCAGAAAGAAAATCTCTTGGAATTGGACTGTCACAAGAAATGAATACGCTCTTCCGGTTTTGGTCTTTTTTCCTCAGAGATCATTTTAACCGGAAAATGTACAATGAATTTCGGAAATTAGCCACTGAAGATGCAAATCTGAAGTATAGGTATGTAGTTCTTGTAATTAACATTTTATTAGTATTGTTGCTGTATGTTTCTTTCTATTCTCTCCATTTCCCATTTTGTTTAGTTGGTGCATTCAGTATGTAACAAGCTAAATAATATTTGCATGTCTTGACTTAAAATTGAGAAAAGCCTTTCTTGTTTAAATTATATGACATGAAAGTTTTTTTGTCATTCTTGTTATAAGAAACGAGTGTTATCACTTAGAAAATGTCAAGATGACAAATAAATCAAATGAATTAGCTAACTTGAATTCTTGTTTAAATGGGGCATCAGTTTTGTAAATGGCAATAACAATAGCTGCAAAATTATTATAATTGTTCAGTATAATTAATTTTAAATGTATAGACGTGTGTTTACATTCCGATGGCTGCCAGTGGTATCACATCTGTTAAGTATGTTAACACCTTGACATTTCAACATTTTATAATAGATTTGTTTATTTTGTGGTAGTTAATTGTACATTAAACCAATATCTATGCATGTCTTTTACACTGCACCGTAAGTTTCATGTATTTTTATGGTGTATGTTTCATATATTTTTATGATGTATGTTTCATATTGTAATAAATATCAAATATCGCAGGTTTTTATTGAAAGAAATCTTAATGTATAAGCAAAATTCATGTAAGGAGTCATCTAAAATTGGTTTCACAATGTAAAGTTTATTTATTTATTTATTTATTTATTTATTTATTTTTTTTTTTTTTTTTTTTTTTTTTTTTTTTTTTTTTGCTGGTTCATAATAAATTTTTATCATGTTTCATTTAAACTAATAAAGGCAAGTTCTTGTCTCTCTCTTTTATTGTAGGTATGGGCTGGAGTGCCTATTTCGATTTTACAGTTATGGACTTGAGAAACATTTTAGAGAGGATCTTTTTAAAGATTTCCAAGATGAAACACTCAAAGATTTGCAAAACGGTAGTTACCCTTTCTAAGTCACAATTCTGTTACTGTATAAATTTGTGTCTGTAGTAAAGTTTGTTTTGTCTAAATTACAAATAAAACTTAAGTGAAATCATATAATTATGTACTGAAGTCATCGTATAAAACGGTGATTGCCAAACCATCAGTCGCGGCGTGGACGTCACGTTAACACTCCTGTTGGCTAACCTGGATTCCTCTACTGAGCTGCTGCTGACAACAACTGTTCCTTTCTCCCATACAACTGCCATTGTTAGCCTCATCTCGTAATTGACTGTATACACATGAGGTTGTGCACATTATGTTTCTCTTGTGTGTATTAGACATTTGCTAAATTGGATAGTGTTTTTAATGCATTTTTACTAAGCTAGATCTGTTTTAATTGGGGAGAACGTTGGGAAGAACAGGAACATCGAACGTCTGTTCAAAACCATTCATGCAGGGATTGAAAAGTATTTCCCACTAAATTCTGCTCTAAGAAAAGAAAAGAAAAGGTAAGGCAGCTAACTTGATGCTCAACAATGAACTTCTTAAAAACCATTAAACAAGAATATAAAGAAACAACTAAGGTGCCATTCCAAGCTTCAAATGTTATTGCACAGGTTAAGAAGCCATACTAAGACTGTGAAATAATCATAATTTCATGTTTAGGAGCTGCATATGCATTATTTGATTCTAGTTTTAAAAATAAAACTGAGATAATGTCTGCTATTAAATCTGTACAGCTTTCTGCAAGTGAAGGGTTAAGATTATGGGTTCTAATGTTTCACACAACTTAAAACTGACTTTGATCACTGAAAACTATTTCTCCCTGCAATCTGACGAATTGACTGGTATAGTTGATACAGCTTAGTTGACCATTTCTGCAAGAATCGGTTTTGATAATTTTGAAACAAGAGAGGAGCTGGTAAAGATTATACCATTGACAGTATGCACTAGACGACTGGACATATTTTTAGCACTTAAAGATCTTGTTAACTCTGAAAATATTTCTATAAATAAGTTGTTGGGCTTAGCAGCTGATGGAACTATTGCGATAGAAGGCAGACAGAAGGGATTCATAACCCTTATGTCATAAAGTCAACAGGTTTCTGAAAATTCTGTCTTAACATTGCATAATAAACCAGGAATCACTGTGGAAAATTTCAAAGTATGAACAATGTAATGAAAACAGTCATAAAAGTAGTGAAAAAAGTTAGAGCACATGCTATTCAGAGATGTTTTTTCAGAGCACTGTCTGCTGAACTAGATTGCCAGTATGGTGATCGAGTACTTCATATGGAAGTTCGTTGTTTAATTAGAGGCAGAGGTTTACGACATTTTCAAAAGTTTCTTCTTACGTAGCAGAATTTTTTAAAGAATGAGTCGAATCTTTCTGTGAACTGGAAGATCCAGTTTGGCTGCAGGATTTTGCTTTTTTGGCAGACATCACCAAAAATTTAAATACCCTTTACTGCAGCTTCAGAGTAAAGAGTATTTGTTTATTAGTAGAGCAATTGGTTTTGCTTTTTTCTCAAAAATGCTGGAACTGTGGAAAAAAATATTACAGGGTGAATACAAACACTTCCTGTTTCAAACAAGCCCTTGACAAGCAAGGGTCTTCAACACTTTACAACAGCAAGAAATATGTTGAAATTATTTCAGATTTGAGAATAGAGTTCAACAAATGCTTCAAAGATTTCAGAAGGATGTTGCACAGTTTTTCAAATCATTTTTTATAGGGATTAATGCTGAAGAGTTTTTGAACTGATTTATTTTCAAAATGATTTATCTGCCAGATCTACTTCTTTAAGCTCTGAAAATATTTAGTCTCTTGTTCCTAAAGAAAAATACCGAATTTTGGTACAGGTTTGTCTCAAAGTGAAAGCAGTCTTCAGCTCTACATATCTGTGTGAGATTCCGTTTTCCAATATGAAATTCATTAAAAAATAAGTACAGAAAGACTTACCGATGAACACTTGGACAACTATATTCGAATAGCAGCCACTACCTATACCTATATCATCAAGTTTTTAGTGTAGGGAGCAACACTAAAAACTTGATGATGGCAAAAAAGAGTTCCATCCTTCTCATTAAAGTTAATAAGTCTGATATAAAAATCTATTATTATATTTGCTATTTATTACTAACTGCACTTAAATTTCTTTCTTAGGTATAATTCAATTTCAGTTTCTTTTTGTTATATACAATTTAACCAAAATTGGTTTCATATTTACTAGAAATGTAAGTTTATAAGCAATAAACAATTGTGTAAGCTTTTTTTTTTCAAAAAAAGTTGGTAGTCCCTTTGGTTACTAGCTCACAGTTGGACTTAAAAACAGTATGATAGCTCAGACGCTTCACAAGTTTGGTGACCACTGATATAGAACATAGAACTTAAGAAGTAAATATTTGTGCTTCTTAATTTTTGGCCTATTTTTAGAGGATTTTGTTGAAAAATGCAATATTTTTTTATATGTTGAATATTTTTATGAATATATTTTCTTTTCAAAGTTTATTACTGGTAGTTATTTAATTTTGCAGTTTTATGTATTGACATTTAAGCTTTCAATGTGAGTACAGGTATTATTCATAATTAAGAGTAAAATTGAAGCTTTGAGGTGAATTTGCAAGATTTTCATAATGGGCCAAAATACAATTCAAAATCAAATATCTAGAGGCCTACCAGCAGCCGAGCTGTAAAGTTGCTGCACAGTGGTAGTTTGACGTGGATTCTTTTATGGGTGAAGGCGCTGGCTGCATGGGTGTTTTTGTAATTTTCCTCGTGTGTAATGTGGATATTAGTCAGTTTCCCATAGAAAGTCTTCCATTAATGTATCCCTCCTCTTAGCCCTCACGTGCTTTGCCACAATGAAATAAACCAAGATCTAGATTTGTTAAGAATTTCCGATTTCTGAAATTTTTGTATTTTTAGATCTAAGATGTTATATAAACTTACCAAGATGACATATAACAATAATAAAATTAGAAATATGAAATTTGTACTTACGAAAGAATGAAACTTTATGCCCTGAAGGGAATCAAAATTCACAAAAAAATATTTAAAAAAAAATACAAAAAAAAAAATCACAATTTATATATTTGTTTTGTTAAACATTTCTTTCAGTGTAAATTGTTTCAGTTTCTTTGCTAATATTTTCTAATTTTGTAGAAGGACAGTTTCTTATTCAGGAGCAAAATACTGTTCTTCAAATCTTGAAACTTTTGTGTTGAGAATATCATCTTTATTTATTATCACTTTTCTTTAAAAGTTCAGTTAATTTGCAAATTTTGCTACCTTCCACAAATTTTGTTGATTGGAAAATTTCACCTTTGGCTTGTGATATCTGAGAATCTTCATTTTGTATTTATTGTCATAATGAACTATGGCCATAAATCATTCCAAAATTTTTTAAAATATTTGCAGACACATCCTCCCATGACCTTCCAGTGATGTTAAAGTACTTCAAAAATTCTTGAATGGGCACCCCATTGTTCAGATTAGATTTATAAAAGACCACCTTATATCTGTATTTTAGCGGGTGCATCAGTTTGATATACATCCATTGACTGAACTGTTTAGTGCAGTTTGAAATAAAAAGTAAGATAGAAACATATTTTATTAAAACTTCCAATGAAGTATCAACGGGACAGTTGTCTATAATTGGGACAATTTTTGTATCATCCCGTGTCAAATGTTAATGAGCCTTGGGAATGAAAATGATTTTATAATCATTCATAAAGTAATATTTCTGCCATTCATGTTTCATTTTTAATAATGGATAACAATGAAAATCTTCACTCCTTTAAATGTTTGAGGTCATATATTTTTTCTGATTACCAAAAGTGTATGTTTGTGCATTGCTGCAGCATTTTTGAATCTTTGACACCAGGTGGAGCCTTTTCTTGAGAGGTTACCAAAGTATTTAGGGGCACTTATTGCCACAAAACACCAGTTCTCAGCATTATATATTTGCTTTCAAAATTAACATTTCGTTTTTAATGAATTGGATGAATTCATTTAGAAATTGCTTAGCAGCTATAGTATTAGCTGAGCTTTTTTGCCTGGTGTTCTAACTGCTTTTTACTATGGCACCTTTTTAAGTTGTTTAACCAACATATTGAATATGTTCAGCCAGTTCTTAAGTCCCATTTCCTTATGAAAAATTTGGTTTGAGCCATTAGCAATAATATTTGTCAATGGCACATCCTTGCTGTGATGCTGTCTCACCCATTCAATGATTACTTTGTCATGGGTGTCAGTTTAAGCATAATAAGTGATAGTTCTTTTATTCATTGGTAGTAGGGTGTGAGAATTCACAGAAAAATCTAAATTTTTTCTTTATTTTTTTATATCATACTATTGACTTTCCAATGTTGACCTCCTCACATAAGTTTGAGACATATGCTTTTATCCTCTTTTTAAGATAAAGGCATATATCTTGAATTTATGCAAGGAAAATAATTCCACTTTTTATTTGATTGGTATTGAAACATACTTTCACTTTGCAATTCTAGAATTAGAAACTGTTTTTGAAATAATTGAAAATTCAGCTTTTGACGTTCATAAGATAGCTATAGTAATAATAGCTTCCAAAAAATGATGTTAGATCAAATTAGGATGTTAAGGATGAATGCAATTTTCTAGGTCAACTGAAGTTACTTGGAATTCAATTCTTTCTCTATTTCCCCTGCTGTTATGCCAACAAAAGAAAATCTGTATGAGCAACATCTAAATCCAAACAACTGAGGCTCTAGTTGTTTGGGTCAGATAGAAAAATGCTACCTCCTTCTTTCCCAGACAAATATCAAGGGTCAAGGTGTGCTCCTGGCCAATGTAAGCCACATTGTAATTCCCTAGTCAGCAGGTGTCTGAAAATGGCACCTAGGAATCAAAGAGGGGAAAAAATCACTTTTACAGTATACTTGCTTTTCTTGAGTATTCTCAATTCCTAGACTTTGTATTGTCTCTTTTTGGGGGAGGGACCAGTGATCTAGAGGTCTGGGTTATTGGATGCCCAGATCTCAGATATATATACATTTATTTGCAAAAGAATTTACATGTATTTGAACAGGCTGTCTCCATATTTTGAGGTAAATGCGGTATATATTTTAGCATTTCTGGTGAAGGAACCACCACTTCATTTTTTTTAATCTAGCACATATAACCATTGAGATTTTGCACCAGTAAACCCACTGCCTTCTTTTTTCATTATGCAGTTTAGTACTTTTGGTAACTATTGGTGTTAAGTTGGTTATGAAAGATTGTTTGAAATTTACTGGAGTAAGAATTTTGAACCTTATTGAAGATTACATAGTAATGAACTTTAAATTTGAAAGTTCATTTACCTTCCAAAAAGAAGATCAGAAATATGTAGTAGGATTTACAACCTTTGTTTGGCATTGATAATCTACTAAGTCAAACTAAGGATGGTTTTTTGCACATTAGTAGGAGTAGTTCTTAACTCCTACTAATAAGTACAATGCATTTCCTTCTTTCCTCAAAGAAATGTAATAAATACATTGTGATTTTTCAATTTTGCACTGCGGAAGGGCCGATATTCTCAAACATATGTGTACACAAAAACAGTACTTATGATAAATAGTACAAGTAATCTTACTATTTATGATAAATAGTAAGAGTTCTTAACAAGTTACTGTAAACAAGTTGTTAATAAGTTACTTAAACAACCAATGCACCAGAATGATGATCTCGTATATGATAGAAACAGAGGTTTAAGTTGATCATTAGTAGTTCTTGTGCCAGTAGCATAAGTTAATCATCAGTGTTCATAGTGTCAGCAGTTCATAGTAATTATCAGTAGTGTTAAGCAGTGATATATATCCCTGTAGTTTTTATGGGCAAAATACATTGTAAACAAAAATCAGAAGTGTCTAGGAATAAAGTTGCAAAAAGTATTTGAAATAATTTTCTGCCTGAAACTATTTTTGTCTCTAAATTATACGAGAAAGATTGGAGAAATTGTTATGAACAAAAGCTCCTGTTCACCATTTGAAGAGCTTTGTGATGTACTTTGAGGTTGTTTAAAACATGGATGGTAAGTTTCTTGGTCATCAGTTATTGAAGTTGACTACTGTTGAGGTTTTCATTATTATGATTATTTTGTTTTAATCAGTAGGATTTTTAGTTTTCATTGTATGTTATTGTATAAACTTGGTTATAATATGTAAATGGGCATAATTTTACTGTAATTACTACTTAAGATTACACAGTGAGGGATCGTGAATTTTTTATTCATTATATATACAAAACATTTAAAAAAGGAGCAGATTTTATTGGTGTGTGGAATAACAATTTTTCAGTATAAAATCCATTAAAGATATTTATGAAAAGGGGTATTTCTTCAGATTTGAAACAATTTATTAAATGAGCTATTTTCATTGAAACAAATTGATACTGATAACTCAGTTAGATCAAACTTTCAAAATATACGTAATGAATTAGTTTTACATTTCATATGAGCCCACCAGTGGTCGAGCAGTAAAGACGCTGAACGCTGATAGTTTGGTCTGAGGTTCGAATACTGGCTGCATGGGCATTTTCGTGGTTTTCCCACATGTGTAATGTGTATACGAGCCAGTTTCCTTTAGAAAGTCCTCCACGAAGGCATCCCTCCCCTTAGGCAGATAGCCCTGGAGGCTTTGCCATAATCACACACATATTTCATATGAACTACATGTGCTTTATTAATCTGTAAAATTTACTTAAATGGGTGGGAATAGGCTGTTGTGTCATCATTTTAAGAATTTAACAACAGTGACGTACCCACTAGCGGCCAATGCGTCTTACCAGCCTGTTGTCTAGGCCTAGAATCCTGGGGAATGGATGGCTTGATGTTTTTCTGCATGTTTAACATGTAAATAAGCCAGTTTTCTTTGGAAAATCCACCACAAAAGTGTCCTTTTCTTTAGGCAGATAGCCCTCAACTGCTCAGCCATAATCAAAATAAGCAACTGCTGTTTAATTATTTTTATTATGGCAAAGAATATCAAAAGAGATAACAGAAATTAAAGGAGAAACAAATTGAATATAAGCATTAATTATTTGTTTGGCATTTCTATTTTTCCTCTGCATTCATAATATTGGTATACCTTATGACCGTCTCAGATCTTAATTATATGGTTACTGGCTTGAATTTGATCTTTTGTATAAGATATAAAATTTACTCCCCCCCCCAAAAAAAGTTATATTTAAATAACTTGATACACCTGATAACGGTCTCAAATCTTAATTATACGTAGGGAAGTCAACTGAAAACCATAAAAGTAGAAATAAAAATCCGCATATGGCGCCAGTGAGCTGTAAGTTGGCATACCTGTTTGCGATAGTATGCCGGATGTCTCCTAGGTGGCAGCAGCCGGCAGATGCACAAACACCGGTGCAACAACAGTTCCAAAATGGCAGCCCCACTAGCCACATGCACCAGCGAGGAGCAGTGTTCTGTGATTCGGTTTTTGCGAAGTGAAGGTGTGAAACCGATTGACATTTTTAGGCGAATGAAGGTTCAGTATGGAGATGCGTGTTTGTCACAGCCACAAATCTATGAATGGTGCCGGAAATTTGAAAATGGTGTTACGTCTGTGGCCGATGCTCCACGCCCCAGCCAGGCTCGTTGCGTAGTGACTCCAGAGACCATTTCAGCCGTTGAAGCCATCGTTTTGGAAAACCGCCGTGTGACAATAGACGAAATTGCAGCATGTGTACACATGAGTCATGGATCGGTACATCATATTGTGCATGATGTTCTCCAGTTTCATAAGGTGTCTGCAAGATGGGTGCCCCGACAACTGATGCCTGAACTGAAACAGCGACGTGTTGATGCGTGTGAAGACCTTTTGTGGCGTGCTGAACGTGACGGTAATGCCTTCCTGTCACGAATCGTCACTGGTGACGAAACATGGATGCGTTACCATCAGCCTGAAACAAAGCGAGCGAGCAAGGAGTGGCAGCACTCCTCATCATCGAAACCCAAAAAGTTTCGGACATAGCCGTCTGCAGGGAAGGTTATGCTGACTCTCTTTTGGGACAAAAAGGGCATCATCTTGGAACACTACACACCAGGAACTTCTGTCATGAGTGCTATGTACTCGGACCTCCTAAAAAATCATCTCCGGCCTGCCATCAAAACGAAACGACGAGGATTGCTGTCAGCCAGTGTGCTGCTGCAACACGACAATGCATGGCCTCATACGGCGCGTGCAACGATTGCGACCATCACAGACCTGAAATTTGAATACCTCCCACATCCCCCTTACTTGCCAGACCTCGCACCGAGGAATTTCCATCTGTTCGGTCTGCTCAAAGAAGCAACGGGCGGCAGGAAGTTCCACTCCGATGAAGAGGTACGCAACGCGGTGCACGAGTGGTTGCGCCGTCGCCCAAAAGACTTTTTCTGCAGGTATTCAGGCTCTTCCAAAGCGCTGGCGGACTTGCATTGAACGAGGAGGGGACTATGTTGAAAAGTGATTTACTTCTGTACCCTGTGTGACCAATAAATAATATTTTTAAAAAATAATTATGGTTTTCATTTGACTCCCCCTCGTATGATCATTGGCTGAAATTGATTTTAAACAGTGAGAAGAAAAACATAGTATAAATTAATTCTGAAGAGTTTGCTCTGACCTTCCCCAAGAAGGAATAGCATTAAAATATTTGCTGTCAAAAATTGAAGAAAAATACTAAAAAACACCACTTATTTCTTTTTGACTTTCTTTAATAAATGTTCTAAATTTTAGGTTATTTGTATGGGTTAGAAAAATTTTGGGCTTTCCTTGAATATTCTGGCCAGAAAAATACACTAACTGTTGATCCTGTACTGAAGGCAACCTTACAAAGGTTCAAAACAGTTGAAGACTTTAGGGTAAGTTAACATTGTATGAAAAGCTGTTTCTGTTTTTAATCATAATTACATTAATTTTTTGCACTTTTATCTTAATTGGTCTTTTTAAGAACATGAAATGTGTGCATTTATTAAAGGCCTTTTTCTTACTGATTGATGACACCACAATGTAGTGAAACTGATAATTTCTCTAGGATTTTTTTTTTTTATTACATATAGAAGAAAACCAAAGTAATTTCATCAGTGTGAAATAGTGCCACACTTCTGCTTTGTGAGTGAGAGCACATGCATCTGAAAACGTCATGTTCCATTTCTCCAATGAGCATTGAGTGCCACTGTGTGTCATCTGGCATATATTACCAGTGAGCACAAAGCAAGGTTGAAGTTGTTATTTCATTCATCTTGTGGCTGAGCAGTGATATTAGGAAATAATTAAGAAATTACAATCTTTTGTATAGCTATGTCTGTGAAAACGGTAAAATACTCTTGTACTTTTCAAACATCTTACGTAGATGCATTTCCTTCTGTTCTTTCCTCAAGGAAATGTAATAAATACATCATGATTTTTCGATTTTGCACTGTGGAAGGGCCGATATTCTCAAACATATGCATACACGAAAGCACAACAACTTGTGTTCCACTAAAAAGGAAAACATGAAAAAAAATTTGTGGAAACAAAGGACCAAAAAGTTATTAATGCAGAATGCCTTTTTACTGCAGCATAGCCTACCACTGAATACATTGGATTATGCTGCAGTTTTATATCGAAAAATGTTTCCCAATAGCGAAATAACTAAGAAATACTCAAGTGCAAGGACCAAAATGGCTGCAGTCGTTATGAAAATAAACCTTCAGCTATTGATTGCATTAAAACAGTTCCATCCTGCCTTTCTATGGATGGAAGCAATAATACTGATTCAAAACTGTATTCAGTTGTTTCTTTTTTAATCTTTTGTCTTCTGAAATTGAGTGTATATTACTCTCTGTCCCCACTTTAGGACATTTGACAGGCTTTAATATAGCACAGCTACATTATTAAAACTAAGAAAAAATGCAATTCCTCTTCATGATTGCTTAGCACTAGGTGTCAATAATGCACCAGTAATGGTTGATTGAGGCGACCTACATTGATCATAAGGTCTTCATTGACGATGGGGCACAGGGTCGTCCTCCAATCCAACCAATCATGGTAGGCTTGGAGTGATGTTTTGCGGGCATCTCAGGAAAGGAAAATTCAGCTTTGCAAAATATGAGGTGCACTTGTCACCTTAAATTTAGCAGCTGAAAAGGGTAGCTTCTTTATCATTAAGTGTGGATGAACACTTTGCTGATATTTATTATTATGAAAGATGTTCTAAAAGGAAGGGAAAATTGATACAATTCCAACCAGTTGCATACTGAAATAAGAAAAATTTTGAAACATTTATGTACACACTGGCTATCTTTGAAGAAACGTTTATCTAGAATCCTCAACCAATGGAATGCACTTCTTGCATTTTTTAAAGAAGTAAATGCTTCTAGAGTTAATATAAAAGGCTGTATTGAAAGTTAATACCTAAAGCAAATGGACATGTAGTTACTACTTCCACTGTTAAAAATAGGTTTGAGAAAAATATTTCTGCACTAGTAAGCAATTTATTTGGCAATTCTCAAAATAATACTACAAAATGTAAGCATGAAGCTGATACAAATTTCTTTCAAAGTAAAAAAAAAGGAAAAAATGCTCAACAAGGAAAACATTTTCCGATTACTGCAAGTTTATCTCGTGAAGAGCAAATATTTATGTTTTTGTCTTCAGCTAGGATTGACATTCAGTTGAGTTTAATTGGGAAATTGAAAGGTGCTGATGGAATTTTAATGTATAGTGAATTGTCTAGAACTGGCCAACCTGTCAATTCTCAATAGTAAGATAGACGAGAGGGTTTTCAGTATTGCAATAACAAGGATTAAATTTGTTTTTTTACACTTATTTTTGTACTGTTTGCATTTGGAACTAGTAACTTAGGTGTCAAATATTTATTGTAACCATTTAAAGTTAATTCGTTATTAGAAAATATATTTTTATCATTTAAAAAGTATTTTTGTCATTGAGAAAAATCTGATTTTTGAGTGTCTTACGTTGGCAAGTAGGAATATGAAATAGTTTTTATCATTACTAGATGTTTAGAGTTTTTGCAGTACATTTGAGTTGAATGATATTTTTGTGTAGTTCTGTATTTAGTATTACTTGAAGCATTTGCATGTTCAGATTGTCATTGAAAACCGTAACTACAGCAAACAATGTATGATTTCTAGACACCATTATGGAAAGCAGATTTTAAAATAAGTGGAATTCATGCTTATGTTTCAGTAGTTCATATTTATTCCTGTATGGATATTTTCAATAAACATATTGCAAAATTTCTTGGAGATTAAGAGCAGTTTGAAGAAACTGACAAACTGCATAATTTATAAGCATAAACAAAAAACTTTTTTTTAAGTTGCATGTGTCATGAATACATATATAGATTCTAACATAATTTTTTATCATAGAATAAGATGAATAAATGCTCGTCACTATGCTAGCTTACAAACAGTTGCAATTTTTATGTTGCAGCACTTGCACCAAGTGGCAAAAAATGAACCATAGTTCATAATATGGTTCTATCTTTATTTTGAAGTCTTGTCCCATTTGTTGAAGAAGCTGCATGGAGATATGGTGCTGTATATATAGTTCTTCAGCCTTTTACTTTTATGTTGAGGTCTGCCTAGATGTTCAGATTATCTACCTGAAAGGTTTTAAAATGACACAAGTTATTTCTAATACATTACTAAAAAAATTAAGTAACATGGAAAGCTTTAAATAACTCAATAATTTGCATATTGTATTTATGGAGTAGAGAAAGTTCATGTAATTTGAAAAAGTGTTAAATTACTTTGAGTGCTTTATAGATTTTGCAAACATTTTGCACTTGTAGTGAGATGTTGGCCATAAAATGTGTTGTCTAATTTAAAAATATAGAATGTGTCAAGTATAGGCTGTCATAAACTTTTTGAGCCTACCAGAAACTGAGTGGTAATGGTCACTGAACACTGCTAGTTTGGTTCAGGGTCCAAATATCAATGAGGGAGCTGGCTATATGGGCATTTTTATGGTTTTCGCCTTGTGTAACTTGTATACAAGCTAGTTACCCTTAGAAAGTCCTTCAAGAATGCATCTTTCCTGTTAGGCAGATAGCCCTCAAGTGCTTTGCCATAATTAAATAAACTAAGCTGTTTGATTTATTTTGAAGGCTTGGTGTATCATATACAAGGCTAATGACTGAGTGACAAGTTCTTTCTTTTTGCAATAAGCAATGACTTAGACTTCGTTAATCTCACTAAAATCTTAATTTAATGCAATGTCAGTGTTACCAAAAGCATTTATATAAGATTTCTTTAAATCACTCTGTGAAATTTATCCTTGTAAGTAAATTAATTTCTTTTTAATCAAGCTTGTGTTTTAAGTTGTGTCATAAAATTTATTAATTCATCAATATATTTAAAACCAGAAATCAAATTATGGTGCAGTATAACCAGACTGCAGCTGGTAAGTCTGGAAATAGTGTTAGAATTCATTCAGAAAAGCAGATGGCATTAAATATTAACTCTATACTCACTCCACTGATGCTATTAGTCAGTTCTCAAATAAAGTATAATAAAAAAAGAATGGCCCTGCCAAAGTATTATTTTGATCAAAAAGTTAATTGATATATAGGGTAATTAAAAGATATATTGGCAAATTCGTCTGGCTTTAAATATCCATTGTCTATTAATTATTTGATATCATTGATAATGGGTTAAATGTACACTTAGGTACTTCACAGCAGTTGTAATAGTTAACCCTCTGAAAACTTAAACATTTTTATGAGAATGAGATTTATTGCCACTTTTTTACTGAAGCTTTGTTGTTTAAAAGATTTTGCTTTTATTTTCTTTAATGAATGGAAAATTTAGAGAATAAAGTAATTTAATTTCTGCAGAAATGTAAGGTATCTTTTTGTAGTTTAAAAAATTATCCAATCTGAACTAATTGGTGTCTAGCTGGTGTCTAAGTTTTCCTCTGACTGAACATTGTGCTTTAAGTGGCCTAAAAAAAGTTAACTTAAAACCTAGGTAAGAAATAAATATCATGCAAATGCAACTATGTGCATGTGAATGTAAAAACTGTGGCTGTTCAGATAATTACTTATTGAATTTCTTTATGCTTGCAACAACCTGTGAATTTTCTATCTTGAGTAGTCTTAATACTTAGTTGCTTAAGCTTCACACATTTTAGACAAAGTAAATGAAATATTTCAAATTTTCTATTCGTAGGCTTATGAATGCAGTTATGCTACTGGTCCTGCTGTTGAGCGACATCGTAATTTGTCCGAGTCATCAGGATCAAGAAGAAATAAAAATTTTAACACTGATTCAAGATCTCGAAGAAACACTATTTCAGCAGCAGATACGCCAAGAAGAAGGAAGGGTAGTGGCTCAAAGTCTAGTGACCAGAATAAAAATTCAGCTCATAATAAGCAGTCTGCCATTTCTTCCGAAAAGTCAGTATCTGATGCAGTTGTGGAAACTTCAGCAGAAGCAAAAGTTGTGAATACAGATGCTTTAGATGTTAAACAGGCTACTTTGAAATCTGTGCCTGCTGATTCAAATAGTACTGTTATATCTGATTCAGAAGAAAAGTCAGAAAGTTGTGCATCATGTGGAGAAACTAACAGTGAAAAGGCATTCTCAGTTAATCAAGAGCATGTTCCTGATGCTAAAATGAAAGTTATCAAACGTAGTTTTTCTGAACCTTGTACCACAATGGTAAACTTATCAGAAATAGATTTTGACTCTAAAATGCAAATCTTGTCTCTCGTTAATGAGCAGAATTCAATCAATGAATTGAATATATCTGAAAAAAACCCTGTTGAGTTGCTATCATTAAAGCCTGATGAAGATGCTGTGCTGATAGATAAAAAAGAGAGTGACATTACAAGTGTAGATAAAGATAGTATACCAAAGCCTGAAACAGAAATTAAGAATTCTGATTCTTCTAATTGTGGAAGCCAATCTAATGTAATTTCCACAAACACTGAAGTAATTGCTTGTATTTCGGAAATGAATGAATCTGAACTGACTGGCACCGATGAAAATGTTCCTCCAACTGAAGATTTGACTTCAGATGAGCTAAAAGATGTTAACTAAGACAGATTTTTAAAAGGTAAGATGATTAATTGTTTATTCTAATTTAAATGTTGTATGATTTTAAATTCTAAGTATATTTTTGTGTTTAGTATCTTTATGATCTAAATAAATATGCTTAATCGATCAGAGAAGATAATAATGCATGTTTATAAGGATGAGCCATGTCCAGCATGGGTCACCAGTGACATCTGCATGTAGCCTTCTGTATTTTCACCGCTGTCTGAAACACTTCTCTTTAAGTTATAGGGCATTTTCAAATCCTTATATTGCACATATTACACTTTTTATGCTAAAAGTCCATGAGAATGATTAGAGGTCTTGGAGCTAGAAACGTGATTAGACCTATTTAACTCTACTCATTGAAAGTACAATGGAGCACCCTATATACGTTTCTCATAAATATGTCTTACTTCTATACATCATTTTATCTTTGTCCCAATTCACTGCTATTTATTTTAAATAACTTTGGTTATACATTGCTTGTGCTTTTCACTTCACTAATTTTGCATTTCACAATCGAACTGTTCAAGTATTTTTCCTAGAAATGGGAATAGGAAAAAGAAACAAAGGCGTGAGACGTCAGTCAGGTGCAGGAGTTGAAAACCAGTTCATGAATTGAGAGGATATTCGGGAGGGAAAATGCATATGTTTTTTTCTTTTTGAAAGGAAGCTATGTTAAGCAAACTAAGTGGAGCAGAATTAAGTGATATAAAATGTTACAGAAGCAAAAGGCACGCTCTTGAAAAGTTACCCCCCCCCACCGTCTCAGACAATTGGAAATTCTTTTGATGGAGGAATAGCCATTACTAGTCTGTTACTTTAAGCACTTCAAGATCATAGCAACCTTCCCTCATTTATGATCATAATGTGTGTTGTCATCAAGCAGAGGGAATTTTAATAAATTGGAGTAATTCAGTTTTTTTTTATGCAGCAGTCTTTCTTATTATTACAAGTGAAAATCTTTGCCATGGTCATGGCTTGGGTGAAAGAAATGGCAGACTGTAGCATCTGCAGTTGTTGATCACTTCATTAAAAGCATGGTCATCACTGTAAAATAGGTGTGAAGGCTTGGGTTGTCATAATACCTGATTAATGTAGGTTTTCATTCTTTGTTTTTAGCTTTAAACGTCAATTTTTAATAACATTTGGTGATATTTCATTTCCATTAGAAGGTCATCAGAAAGGCCTAAGAATCACTAAAACTTCAGCTAACAGTTCAACTAACTTTATTTAACATTTAGAAATGAAAATCACATCTCACAAGAGGCAAAATATTTAAACATTAACACACAAAGACTGATGCCAGATATTAGACCCAAACAGGCAAAAAGTTAGTTGCAAGTCTTGGCGAAAAAGTTCAAATTTTATTCTCGTATTGTGTAGAGTACATATATGCATATTGCATGCAAAGATGAATGTTGCCACCCACTATAATGAAGATTTCCACCTCAGTACCCCCACCACATGCCTCTGGCACATAGGGATCAGAGATACCTCAAGTTAAACTTGACCCATCTGCCAGAACGAGGGAGTATATATTGGTGGTGTTTGGTTGGCTGATGCAGGTATTTCAACTGTGCTGCTCAATGGATTTATTGTAACAGTCTGCTCAGGTACAGAAACTGATGCTGGAGTATTCGGAAAAAAATGCTAGTTTCAGGTAATTGATGCTGATCACCGATTCCTTTCCTTAATGAGAAGTGTAAAATTTTCATTAAACTTTTTTATTATTTTAAATAAGCCATCATACAAACGCGTCAATGGTGGTTTCAGTGCGTCATGCTTCAAACACGCGAGTGCATGACTAACGCTGGGTTAAAAAAATACTTATTGTTAATATGAACTGATGTGGGTACTGGTGACATTTCTCTCATTGCCTCACACAATTTCTGTATAAATGAAATTGGATCAACAGAATTAGAAACGAGGGTTTACGAAAACTCTGCGGGAAAGTGAATAGTAGTTCTGTAAACCATCTCTGAGCAGATTGTACTCAGAGCTTCTTTGTATGTAGATCGAATACTGAGGAGTACAATTGGAAGATTTACCATCCACTGGGATGTTGTTATGGAAAACCAATGCCTGTTTTAGTGAGCAGTAAAATCTTTCAAGTAATCCATTTGCTGTTGGTTAGTATGGGGTAGTCCCAGTTTGGTGAACACCGAGAAAGTTTATTAAAAGTAGTGGACATGCAGAACTCAAATTGTTGGCCCTGATCGGTACTTAGGTGATGGAAATTACAAACCTAGCAATCCAGTGGGTTAAAAACATTTGAGCAACAGTTTCTGCCAAAATATCTCTCATTGGTACTGTTTCCATCCATCGGGGGAATCTGAGGGAATAATCAGGGGAGTGAGGGTTAAAAGGTAAGAGTATCATTCTGAGGGTGGCAGGGCCTAAATATATCCAAATGCACATGCTCAAAATACGGCGAAGGACTGTAACGGATTATGAGTATGGTGTATAAATTTTGAATTATGACAGTTGATGTAAGCACAAGTCCAGGCAACACAACTATTTGACACAAAATATCTTTCATTGGTATTGCTTCTGCCCATTGGGAGAATCGGTCAATGACAGTTAAAAGGTAAAAGCATCCTTCTGAGGGTGGCAGAGGTCAACTATATCCAAATGCACATGCTCAAATGTTGACTAGATACAGCGAATGACTAACAGACTGAGTATGACGTGTAAGTGTGGAATTCTGGCAGTCGATGCAAAGACAAGTCCAGGCAACACAATACTTTGACAAAATGAGAAAGAATCAGTCTTTTGGTCTGTTTGTGTACCTGGATGAGAAAGTCCATGGATTGAATCTCTCCAGAGTTGGCTAGGAACGAAGGGACGTATTTTGTCACCACTTAGCGTCGCAATATATATTTAGCCCAGGAGACAGTTCCATCTTTTGTAGTTTTAATGAGCTACTTTCAGTGGACAAATGATGATTCAGATTGGGATCGTTATGTTGAAACGGAGCGAAATGGGAAAAACTTGTTACATCCAACTTATTAATAGCAGTAATTCATGACGGTGTATCTGATGCAATAGTTTCTGCTTCAGAAACATATTGTATGTGGTTTCAGCTTTACAACCATACTCCCCCCCCCAAGAACCCAAAAGCTTTGGTTTCCCAGAAGCTGCCCGACGTGTAATTTGAGGAACACAGCCAGATCGCTGGCTGGCATCGTTTATGGTTAGAACTAGGGCGGTATATCATGTGTGGTCCCTGAATTGGGCAATATAATTCATATACGTAATCTGCCTGGGTGATGCAGAATCTAATTTTTTCCTAAATAAAAATATTTGAGGGCAGTGATCTGAATATATTGTAAAAACTTTTTCTCTCAAGTTTATGTTAAAAATGCCTTACAGCGCAGTAGAATGCAAATAATTCATATGTTCTGTACTTAATTTCAGCTGGAGTCAATTCTGGGGAGAAAAAAGCCAGTGGTTGAAGGCCATTATCACATCACCAGTAGGAAACGGTCTGCTGATCAGGGCCATATATATGTAGCTTAAGTGTTATTGAATTGGTTAGATCAGTTTTACATTTTTGAAGGCCACAGTTGTTTTTACTGTTGAAGGAACAGGATTTTTATTCTTCTTAGAATCTTTTAAAAGAGAACAAAGCAGAGCTTGGGTAGTAGCTGCCTTAGGAAAAATAGTTGATACAAATTCAGCATTGCCAAAAACTTGTTTCAGGCATTATTGCAAGTTTAGGGAAGTTAGAAATTAATACAGTTCCCCTCCCCTGGGAAGAAGCCAAACACCTGAAGGGGTAATTAAAGAGCCAAGAAATGATACCAGTGACTCTCCCTGAGTACAAGTTTTAACCCGTATTTTTGCAGTGCTTCCAAAATCTAGTGGAGGTGCCTTTCATGTTCTTCTTCATCTGCTGAAGACATAAGCAAATCATCAAAGTAATGAATATAAAAGTCTAAGCTGAATTAAGTACTTGATAAATATAAATAGTCTAAGTACTTGACGAATATATCTTTAGAATGTTTGGCCTGCATTTCTTAAACCAAATGGAGTTTAAGCAACTCGGCAAGAATCCACAGCAACAACAGCATGGTTAAATTTTGTTAAATCCAAAGTTCTGTTGGAAGGGGAATTCTGTTATTCGAATCTAACCAAACCATAATGCAGTGCTTGTTTTCTAACAAGGTGGTAGTTTACTGAAACATGTGATACCTGCTATATTTTTAGTTGGAAAAAGATCAGTAGAATTTTCAGTACACAGTATGACTATTAAATTTAGAAAAGATATATGATTCTAATTGTCAACACAAGAAAAATATCAATACTAAAGCATGGTATAAAAGGCATAGAAGACCTATCGTGCATCTATAACCTTTAGGGATGCACATGAGAATGAAAAATACATGAATATTAACAAAATGTAAAATATTTACCTTGTAAAAAAAATATACTGCATATGTTATCGATATGGAAAATCAGACTCCTGTAGATGCCAAGAACACCCAATATTAAAGTATTTTCTGTTAAAAGAATGCACTTTAAAGGTATTCTAAAAATCTTTCAAAAATCCAATAAAGTTATCAATAATTTTTTATAACATTTACTCGTAAATTCAAAAAAAAAAATCATTCATAAAAATAATTTAATCCTACCTCCATTAAGAAAACTATTAATTTAAAAGGGCAGTCCAGTTTCAGCACCGATGCACAAATTGATGAAAATCTTTACCAAAATATTCTTGAGAATCCTTCATACTAACATGATATCGACGTGAAATCAAAAAATCTGTCCAAGTTGCTCAGAAAATTCCTCCATCAGCATGTAAAACTGCAGCATACTTTATTCAGGTCAGGACTACAAGATTTTATAACTGAATCGTCTTCCGTACAAAATAATGAGAAAAAACATAGTCGGTTATCAAGGAAGGTATATCTACAACATATGGTGCACCAATGTTTGCTGAAGATCAACACTTGTGAACAGTTTTTGAACTTTTTCTCCAACTCCTATATAAGTATTCTTTTTTATAAAATAAAAGGTATTAGCTATTGTTTTTGCATATATTTTGTTAAACTTATGTTACTATCATGCATATAAACTGTGAATTTAAATATTACTGACATTTTTATAATGGTGAGTGTTTAAACATACTGTTCCTCAACTTTTGGAGGGCAGTGTGTATTGGCAAGTTGAAAGCCCCTTAGTGTTGTGGTGGTAGGGAAAAGAGATGGATAACCCTCAAATCCATGCCAAAGTTTCTGCATCAAAGTTGAGTGGACCTGTGTGGTTAGTATGGTTGAACTACACTTGCCCAACCAATGCTAAAATGCTGGTGTCTGCCCACATCTTCCTGTCCTGTAGCTGACACAGGACTGCTTGAAAAGTGGCTTTTGCTTGAATAATGCCAGTTTGAGTATGTTCCCTGATACTAGCACTGTTTTACTTTATTTTTGCCTTTGAATCTTCATTTTAGATAAGGCTGTATGTATGAAATATCTGGTACATTCTTGAGAAAATGCAGTTGGCTGCACAGGGTGGTCTTTTCCGTCAACACTGATCTTTACCATGCTGTAACTAACTTATTTTCTGTCATATGATCTTAAGCCATATTTCGATTATTTTCTGCTGCTAAATTCACCTTTCGCATTATTTCATTTTATTCTGGGAAATCCTGTATTTCATTAGATGCTTTTAACTAGATCTGTAGATTATGAAAACACGCACAAAAAATGATTAATTGTTAATAATTGAGTAATTGAATATTTTTCAGTCGTACACCCATCATATTTCTCTCATAAATTCGAGTTGCTTTTATTTTGAGCATTAAATTTTTTTAAGACGTGAAAAGTGACACTGTTGTCTGTCTATGTAGCAGTTTTAATGCTAGATTTAATATTTCTTCAAAGCATTTTAGCAGGTAAAATGTCACTTAACATTACCTGCAATAAAAAGCACCATGATTTCACAAGACTGAACAAGTTTACATATTTAATGGTATTTGTAATTTTGTTCTAAAATTGTCTTTTTTTTACAAATGGTTGAAAAGTGGTGACAGTGTCAATTATTGCAGTGTGTGTATACCTTTTTTTACTTTTTCATTCGATGCAGTTAATTAATAAAAGGCAAAATACAATATGAACATAGCATTTTAATCCCTGTATTATACAAATAACAGATGATCCTCGATAAATCACAAACAAAATTCTTCTTTTTCATAGCCTGAAATGTTTGTTAGTAAAAATTTGCAAAAATGTTTTTCTAAAATTTTGAAATCTTGACAGTTTAAAGCAACTTAGATAATATAGCTTGTTGCATTCTGCTACAGAGCTTCCCTGCATCTGCTGTTGCAAACCATATTTAAATAAAGTATGAATAAGTCTGCAGCTGTTTCCCTAGTTTTAGAATTTGAAGTTGTGATGTTAAAATATCTTGTTATGCACATGATTTATGTTTATAATTTTAAGATATGTATGTATTTTTTAGCCTTTTTCGAATTTCATTTCTATGCTCATAGTTTGTACTTTTATTTCAGATCTCTTTTCTTATCAAGTCCAGATTTTTGACTCTGTTCCTGAGTTCAAGCTGCTGTTATGAATTCAATGTGATTTTGTGATACAGATATTTTTATATTGGTAATTGAGCTCTTGTAATACACAAAATTCATTTGTGCCATTTGCGAATAATAGTTGTGCCTTGTATCTCTGTATAATATCTTGTGGACTATGCAAATTATGTATGAATTTAGTTTTACAGTTAAACTGTATTTTAATTTTTTCCCTTCTACTAACTTCACAGTTAAACATGCCTGTTATTGTACTTTAGACTACTGAGTATTATTTTGCATCTCACATGCCTCAAATGTGCAAACAATAAGTTTATTGACTTTAGAGGTATGTTCTATATGACTAGATTTCATAGAATTTAATGTTCAGTATTTTCTTAATTATTAAACATGTAAATTTTTACAGTAAAGTCAGGAATCTTAAATAGTTACATGTATCAATCATAGGTACAAGTTTGGTTAATTTAGAATTCTTCAAAGTTTTTATAAAACTTTTGAGAGTGGTTTCTCTTCCATGTGTAGTTAAACTTTGTGTGCTATTTGATGGAAATAGCTAATGTTGCTGTTTTCCCGCCTTCCCTCCTCCTACCTTGCTAAGCTGATGCTTAAATCATATCAGTATGAAAACTTTGTTGTCTGTTTATCTGGCCATGTAAAAATTTATCTGCTCTTAAGTTTTTTAGTTGTGTTTAGCCTAATATTAATATACCTGTGTTGAAAAGGAATTTGTTAGTGTCTGGGTAATGTTGCTTTTTTTTATGTTAGTATCTAAATTAAACTATACTTTTTTAATTTAAACGAAAACATTTTGAATGACTGAAATTATTTAAGTCTAGCATCATAATCTTGCATGTAAAGTATTTTGATTTATTTTAACTTTGCCCCCCCAAACTCTCCATAACTGTGCTGGGTAATTGAGTAACTTATTAATTTTAATTATTTTTAAATGCAATAAAATAATAATTTTGTAAAGTAAATCTGAAATCATAATTCCTACCAAAGTTATGGTATGACACACAAATGCTCTTTAGATCCTTTAATTTCCATTGCATGAATGTGCATTAAAAATACTCTTCTTATATTGTGTTCAGAATTATTTAGTCTTGAAAACTTCTATCTAAACTTTATTTTTGAATAATTCTAAAGCTTTATGAAGCTGTGCTGTTTCAGAAAAGAAATTTTTGACAAGTTTTATTTATTTTTTTTTTTATTTATTTATTTTCTGTTATTGTGAATACATGCTTGCCCACATGTGTGTGTTATCTTGTTGTGGCCCTCTCTCCCTGATTTTTTTTTTTTTTCTAATATTGAAAATCTTGATTTCAAATTTGTTAAAATTTCTTTGCTCAAGGAACTTAAAAGTTTTTAAGTTAATTGTGTTCACTGCATATGAAATTCGATGTTTGTACATTCCTTTTTTTTTAACTGTGTGTTGAACAGATCTTTGAAGGTATGTGTTAATCTTGTATTTTTCCATGCTAGATTTAGACTTGACTTGTTTGAATAAAAGTCATAAAAAGTATCCTATAAACCCTTCAGTTTTTCCTATTCTTCATTTTTTCAGATATATTTCACTCATAATTATTAAGTTCTAGATTCTGTGATAATATATCTGCATACACAAAAATATTACTTTTTAGATTCTTCTCAAGTTTTTTTGTATTGTATTCTTTCTGTGTATGAAACTATGGTTTCTTCCTGGTTTTGCATCTGATAACTCTTAAGCTTCACCTTAGTCATTTTAATGTAGCATTCACTGCATTTCTGTTTGAAGTTTCTTCTCTGTATAATGATTATGCATTCTTATTATGCTTGTTTGTAGGGCAAGCGCCTTTAATGCACATTCCTTTATTAAAATTAAGTGCTATTGTAGTTGTACATTTTACACAGTAGCTACCCACTGAGTTCATCGTCATTCTCTAGTCTGACTGCATTTCATGTGAAATTATCAGTCAAGAAATGTTAGTTGTATAAATTTACTGGCCATATATTAGTATTCTAATTGAAGATAAATGTAAAGAAGTCTGGCAGTCCCCCCACACTATTTAGTTTTTCTTTTGCAATCCAGTTTGAAGCGGTATAATGTTAAAATTTGTATGTACCTTCTTAAAAGGAATTTTTTTTTGTATGTAATGATTATATCTGATGTAAATGCTGTGATCATCACTTGTGTTGTATAGTTGCATGCAGATTTTGTGAAACTGCAAGTGAAGATTTCTGTTTGAATAATATGTTAACTAGCATGGTTTTTTTTTATTGAATTCAGCCATCAAAATATGTGCAAATTTATTATATTTTTATTGCTCATAAAATATTTAAAATTGCATCCATATCAGAGGGAATTTGCATGCTTACATGTGAGGAAGGATTATGTGTAATCAAAATTTAAAATTTTAATTGTCCTGTTAAATACTCTGCAAAAGTTCAGAAAAATTATTTCCTTAAGCTTATGTTCTCTAGTCAGTCTATCAACATAAGGTTTCATGCCTAGTCTTAGAAATTTAAAATGGCAACCATTTTATTTGAGTGCTCTGTGAATAATTTTTTAACATTATTATGGTTGTTTTGTGCTTTAAATAATTAGTCAGAAATAATGAATTATATTTCTCAGCTTCAAGATATGGAAATATGGATATTTTAGATAGATTTTATCCATAATGTACAGTATATTAATTTGAGTGAAGCATTGCTTGCTCCCATGGGTGTGACTTTACATAATTTTGACCCAATGCTGTTAAGTTTTACTTTTTTTTTTTTTTTTTTTTTTTTTTTTTTTTTTTTAATATTTAACCTCTTAATACTCTAGTTACCAAAAATGTCTAATTCTCTTGTTGATTCTTTTATGCCCACAGTTCTGTGTTCATGTAACTGTTGTACATAAAATTTTGTACATGACAAATTCTTATTTGCTATAAAATCTGAGGATGAAGTTTCAAGTTTTATAGTTATATATTGCTTGTTCTTATAATGTGTAATGCCTGTACTTGCATCCACTCACATGGTATCTTATCACTTTGCATGATAACTTTATGAATTGCAGTAATGGGATTTTGTTAAATTTCGTATTCTTTTAATATAAGGTGCTGATGTGATTTTGTTGTTGTTAGGACTCTTTGTAACTTTCTGATACTTTGCTTAAATGTGCCAAATCGCAAGTTGTGGGCATTGGATGAATTGTATGAGAAGGTTTTCCATTCAAATAATTGTATTAATAAAATAATATGCTTTATTCATATGCTTTCTTTGTGTTTTTACATGGCTGGGTATAAAGGAAAAAGGACATTCATATTTTACTTAGCTTATGTAAAGGAAATTATTTTAAAATATTTTCACATTTTATTCAAGCTATCTTCAGTATGAAAAATTACCCCCTCGTGTTACTTGCAAATTGCTTTTTTTAAGCAATATTCTATTGTGACTGAATTTTTTTTTTTCCAAAATTGCCAAAAAAATTAAGGTTTTAGTTGATAGGAATTTGTATATTAAAGTAAGTAACTTGAGCTTTTACCCTTGTGCCATCTTTTTCCTCATTATGATCTAAATCAGTGATTCAAATACTCTAGCTGTACTCAGGGTAATAAACAACCAAAAAAGAAAGAAAAACAGTGTATTTAACTGGATTTTAAAATTAACATTTATATTTATATAGAATATAGATATATATATAGCTGTGATCAAAATGAGAAAAATCTTAAAATATTAAGAACGAATTTTTTAATATTAATAAAGAATGAATATTTTTGACCCAGTATGTGTTGCAGTAATATTTTGCATATATTTCTTCCATTAAATATTTTTCTTCTTATAGAGGTATCTTTATTTGTGGTTAAATATAGTCATTCTTTACTTAAATAGTTAAGTTTTCTGTTTTACTTGTAAATATTTTTTGTGAAGTGACTACAGGTTTAGGTACAAAATTGTATTACCTGTTGTTAAATGATTTATGTGTATATTTCATTTTTGCTCAAGTGCAAGCAGTTGTATCATGAATGTAGTATGGTAGATAAGGTTTTTGTAATGCATATTAAAGAAGTGCCTGTTTGTGATCTGACGATTAGAAAATGATTTTGTATGTGAATTGACTGATTATTAATTGACTATGTGCCTATGCATCCATTGCAGTTGGTACATTTGTAACTTGCTTGTACCATTGAAACTGAGCTTTTGCTATGTTTATTACTGCTTGATTGTTTGTGTTATACAAGGTTTGGGGACTTTGATTATCTCATATATGGGCAATAAAGTAATAGTCAAAATTATTTTTGTGTTGTTTATTTATTTCTATTTGAAAGTCAAAATATTTTTTACTAATTTAATGTGTTAGCCCTGTTTGTAGCATTCTAACATTTCTGGAACAGATAGGTGCTTTTATCCAAAACTATAAAGGATTTATTTTTCAGGTAAGAACTGTTAGTGTATTTGTGACTTTTTAGGTAATGAATTGTTAATGCTTTTACATCATAATATTCAAAACACAGGTCAATACCCAACAGCAGTTCATAGACGGGCTGCCTATTTTTGTTGTAGTTTCAAGATTGAGTTTGGTATTTTTCTCCAGGTACTATTCCAGTCTTAATATATTTCTGTGTTATCCAAGAAAGCATATTTTCTTAACAACAGATTTCTAGGTTACTTTAGTTTCAAACCTGTGCTATATTAGTAGATGCAGTAAAATTAAATTAAGATGTAGTAAATTAGATGCAGTACCTTAAATGTTGGATGCAGTAAATTAACCCGTAGGATTTGAATCTGATTATAAAAAATTTGACAGTTTTAATGTTGTTCCTATTTCTTCCTATCAAATTACATATGCGAATGATATAGGGTGCGCAGCGTTTATAGCGTAATTTGACTTGCATAGCACAATGATGTACTGCATGAATGCACGCCAGCTCGTGCCGCATTCATGTACTAATGAGCTGTGATTTTGAGTGTGTCAGTGATGTGGATTATTGGAGTGCACAACATCGTGCCTTTACTCTTGAAAGTTATTTCAAGAATAACTACTCTGTTATTGCTACCCAGCGTCTATTTCGGCAACATTTCAACTTGGGACGTTATGGGAAAGTTCCAGATGGACGGACCATTGCGACAGACATTTCCAGGTAGAGTAATTTCCCGTTTTGGTGACATTTCCTGGCCCCCTCACTCACCTGATCTTTCATGTGCGAACTTTGGGAGCACTTGAAGCAAGAAGTTTTCCGAACACGTGCCACCATTCCTGAGTTGAAGGATCACATCCGAACTGCCGTCAGCAATGTCCCAGGGAATATGTTACGCCGAGTTATGGCAAGCTTCCAACGCCGCTTAGATGAATGTGTTGTGCAGCGGGGGCATCATATTTCAAAAAGTAATCCATGCAATGGACAATGACTTACACATTAGTAAATGGCATACCTTTAACTATTAATTGACATAAGATGTAATAAATTACAGTTGCTGCCTTATGGTGTGCTTTTAATATCCTACTATGAATGCTGCTGCACCCTATATAAGGAAGGTTGGTTTGCTGCTTTGCTTTATTGATGGCTCATTTCAGCCATAATTTTGAGTCATACCTGTCCAACTTTGCATCAAAACTACTTGACATTACTTCCTTATCTTTTTGTCATTATGAAACAACACTCCTAGTTTGAAATTATACACATTGTGTATCTAGAGAATACAAAAGAAAAAAGTTGATTAAAATGTGCAAAAAAATTTCTTACATTAAAAGCTCCATCTATGGAAACAAATTTTGAAGAGACTAATATTCGTTTTTTACAATTTAGTTTGTGATTTATTTGTGTTGACCTGAACTTAACCCATACTTTACCAATGATTGAAGAAATAAAAATTTTTGTTTGAAATTTCTAATTTTGTCTTATAAGTAGGTAAGGAAAGATAAAAAATTTAAAAGCACATGAAACTTTTTATTTTCTTTGAGTTTACAGGCTGTCTATATGTAGGACAATGGTCAAATCCAGTGCTGTGAAGTCACAAGGCATTATTTTCTTTCAAGCACATACTTTTGAATGGAGTAGTAAAAAACAACTCTAACATAAGCCAGTATTGGATTTTTTACAAATAGTCGGTTTCCTAGTAAAGTTTTTTAACTGACAACGACGTTGATGTCCATCAGGATTTTTGCCAATCACATGATCATTTTGCATTTTCAAGAAGTCTGGATTTCTCTGCTGTGCACGTAATGTTCTACCTTGAATACTCCTATATATTGATAATCCCAAATAGCTGACTGTTATAGCCCATCAATATTCTAGAAGATCAAGAGCTTCAGTTTATTTCATATACATTTTATAACTATGTCGACCAAAATAGCTCACCGTTCTTTCATCAATGCTTAGATGTTTGGAAAATATCCCTAATTGTTGTAAAGCATCATTCAGTAAATCACAAATTGCACGTACTTAGTAATAGCTGTCCTAATCAATGGTGCTATTGTCAATGAAATGAATCTACCACTTGATTTCAAAATATCTATTTCATGGCATTGCTCAACTAACTAGTATATTTCCTGTGTCTGGCACATTTTCCCAGTACATTTTCTCAAGCGGTAAAATGTGGTTGCCACTATAAAAAAGTATACCTAAGAATAGCTTCAGTTCTTGTTTGTCAATAAAAAATTATGATTATTTTTCTGCCCAGCGTATCTGTTACTCTCAATAACAGCTTTGTCTATCTTTTTTCAACAATATCAAAGTGTTCTGTAGGAGATTTTCCAGAAACAAAATCAGTTATAGACTGACTAGAATCTTGAGAAAATATTTCTGAAGCACGTGAATATTTAGGAATGCAATCTTTCCAATCAGGTTTTGGCACACATATTTCATCATCTTCATTTCCTACTAAAATTTCCACAGTTCCTGCTGCGTTTTCATCACAAATAGCTTAGTAGTGTCTAGTCTTAGTGCAGTCATCGTCTATTTCTTCATTGTCACTGACTGCATCTGGATTAGGTGATGAAGGATTAAGTATTGTTACCATTTCTGGCTCGGTATCTTCATCATCTGTTGCCATAAAATATTCCAAAGTTTCTTGAGCTGTTAGAAATTTTCGACTCATTTTGGATGCGTAAAATAAATATATCTTACAAAATAAACATTCACAAAAGTAAATTTCTTTCATACAAATGAAACGTGTGAAACGGCTTTGAGATGCTAAATATAACTCTACAAAAGGGGACGGGAGACAAGAAATAGTTGATAGCTAAATTTTACAGCAAGGGGATGTAGCGATTTCACTCCAAAGCGGTGTTATGTTTTAGTGTCATAAAATAGTGGATTTTACTATTGTCCTATATATAGGATGCTCTAAAAAAGAAAGCAAAATAAGGATCTATAATATATTTTTCTTTCGTATTTTTTGTCATTCACATTGATGGAGACCTAGTTTATTTAAAATAAATCCAAACTTTTTATTTTACCCCCTTTTCCCCTTTCTTTTATGCATTTAAAAAATAAAGTGCGAAAAGTCAAAATTAGCCCTTTTTGCATGTTTTTTTTAAAAAAAAAACAGATTTATAAATTTAAAAGAAAATAGCTAATATAAAAAGCAGCTTTCTAGCAATACAATGTGAAAGAATTGGTTTAAACACTATTTTTTTTTTTTTTTTTTTTTTTTTTGTACAGCACATCAAATATGTACTGTCCTGTATATAGGACAATGGTAAAATATAGCTTAAGGACTCTTTTTCTGTGGGGGAAGGGGATAAAAAGATTATATTAGTCTAGAACATTGCCTTTATTTTTGCTCCATGTACCTGTATCAAATATTGAAAATGCTTTTGAAACTACATGAAAGAAGTTGTTCAGTGTAGTTATATTTGCCCATTACAAAAAAATCTGAAGTTCAGCAATATGTGGTGTGGTAGTCATTATAGCACAATTCCAGTAAGTACATGATGTTAAGTGCCAAAAGATAACTTTGTCTGCATGAAAACATAGATTCTGTCTATATAACTGTAATAAATGCTGGAATAACTTCGAGGCTGGTTTAGAGGTCCTACATTGAGTGGGGACATTACTTTTCATGAATTTACCACAAATCTGCACAGTACTGATCGCCAGTTACAGTATGACTTTGTGAGGAAAATGCATAACTAAATATTAATAAAAATTGTTTGAATTTCCTCAACTAAAGAACTGTTTTTTTTAAATCAAAGTTGTCTATCTACAGTGCCATAATAACTTAGCTTGGTGGTTTTCTGTTGCTTAGACAGAAAAAATAGCTGTCCATTCTTCTAGTCTGACTATATTCATGCTTGATTACTATTCTGTGGTAGATGCTTTGGTATTGCTGCAGTTGTCACTTTCTCCAAATATGTCATAAACAGAATCTCTTCCAATTAGCTACCAAATAATTGAGTGCACAATTTAAAAATTTTTAACAAAGTCAAATTCTGGTCTTAAGCTTTATTTTCTGTTCAGTTGTTTTTTTCTCAACTACACGCATAACTTCTGAAATACCAGTACTAAAAGTGATTGTATTATTTCTTTAGTAGATGATATGCTTTCAAGTTCAGTGGATATGTTAGTATATCCACTGTTCTCAGGTAAAACTGACCCCAAATGAAGAATTTAGACACCTTTTCCTTAGACAGGCTTCAACAGTGGCCTTAGCGGTGAACGAGTGCTGAATGCTGGTAGTTCAACCTGGGGTCAAACCTAGACAAATTAGCATGGGCTCTCTGCATGTTTGGTTTAATGGTTTTTATATTAGAAAAATCAAATCCCATATTTTTATCTACCTGCATAAAAATGCAAAATTTCCAGTTCAATGATCTCCAAAATATCCACTTTACTTATATTTTATGTAATCCAATATTTTAATGAGTATACTAAACAGTTTGAGTTATTTATGTAACTTTGGTGTAATTTTATGTTATTATCCTCTTTAAATGTAACAACTCCGATGTATAACTCCAGTATTGCTTAGAAGTAGCATATAGTCAGTTTTTCACATTCTGGCTGGTTAGCAATCTGGTTCGATTCTGTAGTGAAGTTTCTGGTACTCCATGCAGTTACCTGTTTACCTGTTTCATGGTTTTTCTCATGTAGGGTGTAAATGCAAGTTAATGTGCCTTGGGAAGTTCTCCAAAAAGGTATCCCTTCCCTTGAGCAGACAAGCCTTGTGTGTTTTCCACGTTCAAATAATCTAACCTTTCCGTAGACAGATTTTACAAAACAATTACTGTGCATGTGTATCAGCAAACATGTGTACTTCATATCGTTATTTATGTGAATATGTAGAATCATTAGGA